AGCAATTGTCGCTCGCGATTCTCGAGCATTTATTTTGCAAGACAGAAACAGTATCTTCAGGTGCTACATAAGTTCCCTCTAATTAACGCACAAGATTTAGTATATAAATATAAAGTGATATATATTTATATAACGTTGTTCGATGTAACAGCAAGAAACAGCAGGTCAATTATGATTTTGTTTTTTTCATGTAATCTAAATAATATATTTAATAAATATTGTATGTTGTATATACATATATATTCTACATTTTTATGTAAGCGAAATATTATATATCTGTATTTTAATTAAATTTAATTCGACGTTTTTTATAACCATAAAATAATTTTTTATTTTATATTTTATTACATATGCACACATGCGCACATTGCGTACGATATAATACCCAATAAAATATATATCTATCATAATAATTTCATAAACGATTAGAATTCTATAACTCGATTCGATGTTTTTTACATGACGTTTGTCTGGATATTTCGTTAAATCTACCAAAATTACAAGCTTTTCCCTGAAAAATTTTATATATCGAAGCAGGAGAACAGAAACTCACTAAAGTCGCGTGACATCGATCCAAATAATTTCGCGGTTGTGACCTCCCCGTTAAAAAAAAAGGGGAGAGAATTCCATAATTAATTACAAATAAAATATTGTCTAAATTCATGTCTCCTCATCGCGAGACATTGCGGCTCATAACAAACTTTAAAAAAAATAGACAAAGGTATTAGGGCCAATATGCTAATTTATATTCGCGTTTGATTAACGTGGCGTATTAAATCAAAGTTATACATATCCGCGCGCTTAGCATTCCGGATGCAGTATCCGCGAGAATCGCGGAATAACCGATGCGTGAGAAAATATTATTACAAATAATATTTCAGACCAAACGTGGTCTTCGTTGTGATTTTCACGACGACTCGTTACGATAACCCGCGTAAATTCGCGAGGGTGAACGCGTCGGTTCCTGGAAGATCCCGGCCGGGCATCCTGGCCGATCCCGGCGCAAATTGACGGTTATTTCCTCAAGCCGCATCTAGACTCGTTCTACGACGCACAACGGCTATAATAAGAGTAACGCGGTGTTAATAACGGACTCGGTAAAAAGCCGATTGACAATCAAGTGACAATACATTTCGTCGGCGATCAGGCCGGCATGCCGTCGGCGGAGCTCCATCGGCCACGCGGCCGCCGAGGGATTCGCAGCAGTCGGCACAACTTCGGAGCTACGAGGTAACAGGATAGCATAAAACGCCCTTCTCCTCTCCCGCCCTGGCCGGCCCTGCCGACGAACGACTCCCACCTCCCACCTCCGAGCGAAGGTACATATCTCCCCTTCTCCGCCGTGTAATATAATTTATCGCGCGTCATGAGCGCAACGAGAACTCGGTAAGACCGGGCAGATGGGCCGACGGGCGCAGGAAGCGGTTTCGCGAGAAAAGTAATTCATTGTGAGATAACAAATTAAGAGCAAGATAATATAATGAAGGCTGTAAAAGGAAATTTAGACGTGAGATGAGGGAGATGTTAGCAGAATCTTAATTTCAGGCTTAATTATACTCGTAGCTCGTTGAAGACTTTGTAAAGATGACGCGATCTCTTCCCTCGACATTCCTGCCGAGATAAATGATTCTCGATTTCACGAGAATGACGCTGTGGGTATACTCCCTGTTGATTCTAGACCGTAATTTGAATTTCGCTATCTCAGTTTCATCGGGGTTCGGCTTAAGCCGAATGAATAATGCATCTTTGCGCTCGTGGGCTAGCTCGCGACAGTTCGCGATGCCGAAAGGGCGTAACGTAGGAGTGTCCACAGAAAGATCGGCGGTACCGAAGAGTACCGGCCGTGCCGCAATGGATTTCGCGCGCATCTCGTTACTTAAGGAGGAAGCGGCCGCCGCGAAACCGCGTACCGGTCTGGGTGGAGTTTCCCGCGGCGTTGTACCGCCTTTGACAAATACTTGGAAACAGGGTAGCAGCAGCAGAACCTGGGGAAAGAGAGAGGGTGAATCGCCGTTGGGAAGCGGGGGATCGCGCAGTGACGGACTCGACGAGTCTCAATTATAATTAGCATGTCAATGATAAATCTCATTTAAGTTTTGCTCAAATCTCGTTTGAGCTTGCCATTTGAGAAGCGTCTTAAAAGTTTTATACTTAAAATTATATTAAATCTGACTTGTACTAATTATGTTGTATATTCGATATTTTTAACTTAAACTATTTTTATTTCTCAATATAACGTATGTCCTAATAAAACTTATAATAAGTCTTTAGTACAGAAACAACCTCAGAGGAATCTCTTTTTGCAACTCACGTATTTTATGTACTTCGAGATATAAAAACTTAAAATATGCCGAAAAGATTATTCCCATATCTCGATTTTCTTCATATAATCGTGTTTAATTCCATTGATATTAAACAAGCAACATTGCTATAAATACATGATGAAATTTTTTGGAAATTTTTACGTAAAATTTTACGTAAATAATTTTTAAGTATCTTGAGGCAAGAAATCATGAAATCTGTTAAAAATCTGTTTTTTTAATATAAATCTGTGCTTGAGAATAAGGATTTATCTTTACTGCTAATCATCTGCTTTATATAATATAAAATTCATAAAACAATGATTTTTTTACTTTTGTTTTGGCATTATTAAAACACAATATGTTATATATTGTATATCGTTATATAATCTTACGTATTAATATACGAATTATAAAGAAGAGAATAATTTCTATATCTCGTGGGAACGATGAAATGTCTGAATTTAAAATGTAATTGCATAAATGGCAAGAGAGAGCAGTAATATCCTCAAGCAGATTCAATTTCTACATCTCGAAATACACAATTAAAATACGAATTTTAAAAATAGATCATTTCTATATATCGAAGACTTATGAGAATTAATTAATAATTCACCAAAATATTTTGTACAATTGTAATTTCTAAGATTTATCAAATTTACTTTTAATTTTAATATCTCTTTAAAGCGCTTACACGGGTACGAGACACGTCGAGCCGCCACTGCGGTGGCAGCGGGAAGAGAAGGAGTGCGCCCATTTCCTTTCCTTTCCACCGAGGTGCGCTCATCGAGCGCGAGTCGCCACGTGTCCGGTCTGATCCCGCTCGGGCATGTTCCCCTGCGAACGCAAGACTCGAGTGTGACCCGGCCTGGGGACATGGGCACGTCCTCGGCGAAGGTCAACGGACTCCTCCGTTGCTCCACCGCGCCGTCCGCGGGGCGTGCGTGGGTGTGCACATGTGCGTGCGTACGTATATACGCGTACGAGCGGTACGTGGCCGTGCATGCGCGGGTCCGCGTCGCGTCGCCCTCCCCCCCCCCACCCCCTCCCCACCCCCTCCCCCGGTTAGCCCCGGTATCGACACGACCCACGTCATATTGCGGGCGAACGCGGGCGTCGAGGGGATGCCGACCAACGCGCGAGTCATGCTCCCCTGCTACGTTGCGCGACAGCTCGACATCTTGCGGTCCGCGCGGATTCCTTGCCGCGCGACGACGCGCGACGAGGTGACCGCGGAATGTACGCGCGCACACTCGCCCCGGAATACGAGACGCGCCGCGGCGAAGATGCCGAAGATGCGTCTCATCGGAAGCTGGATGCTCGTTTTCCAAAGAAGCGATTTGCCATGTTTTACTTTCGTCCGCATTTCTCTTCGCATGGCACCCTTCCGCACGTAAAATACAATCAGTCGCGCCGATTCGAAGAAGAGAGAGAGAGAGAGAGAAATAGAAGGACAGAAATTTGCAGGACGATTGAAATTTAAAGCTTGGAAGAGATAAATTTTATCGCGCGTACGCGATCAATCAGGCATTGATTGATCGATGATTTTGAGATTCACTTCATTTCGATATAAAATGTATTAAAATTACAGGGAATAATTTTGCAAAGACGCAAAAAATGAATGGCTGGATCTAAAAGTAGCAAGAGTTGAATTGGAAAGTCGGTTATTCTTCTTTTACGTCAATTTATGTAATTAATGTACATCTATTTTCTATGATTACATCATGAGACTCACGAGTTATTTTTCCACCATTAAATATTCCGTTTAATTGTATTTCAAATGTGAAGCAAAAGATACGTGAACCTATTTTTCCCTCTTTTTTAATTACCCTGAAATATATATCATAATTTAAAGAATTCTCAGGCTAATTCGTACCGAGTGTTTGCAAAATTACGAAATTGTATAAAAATTCTTGATGCTTTAGCCTTAGCGATATTTACACTGACTTTTCGCGGCTATTTTGACTCTCTTAATTTTTAAATTTCATTAAAATACTGACTTCGCGCGTTTTTCATAAAATAACGTAATTTGTAAACATGTTATAGCTATAAAATAGTAAATAATAAAAAATCCGCTCTTATCTAGAAATCTTCTTAAAAGTTCAGTTTTTTTTAATGCAAAGTAATTTATTTGCTATTTTGTAAATAGCTGATATTAATATTATAAACACTCGTGTTGTTTTCTTATACAAGAGGAAACCGAAGAGGAAACTGATTTTTTCGATGCAGAGTTCGGAATGTATTTTAGAATCTTCTCTTATCGAGCTATTTGATCAATTAGATCCGATTTCTGGTCCAAAATAGGCTATAGCTATATTTATTTTTTGTTCGACTTCTTATTTTCCGTTTTACAATAAATAGTATTTTTGCTCGAATTTTCCTTGACCGAATTACCGAGCCGAATCCTCGACTCGATTGAACGGATTAGCGAATCGTTAGCTTCGGAATTTTTCGATCTCTCCGCGCTTCGGAACGAGATTTTCAGAAATCGAATCGATCAACCGCGTAAAATAAAATAAAAATATGAAAAATCGAAGGAACAGCTGATCCGTGTGCCTCGGTACTAAAATTAGCGACAGGAAGGCGGCGTCGCTAATTAGCCCGGCGTGGGAGCGGCTCGAACGAGGCCACGGTTTCGCGCCGACGGACAAAATCGACATCTCGCGGCGACCTCGAGGCGGCCACGTGACCGCGTCACGTCAGTGCGCAGGGGCGGCCGGGGATGGTCGTCGACGTTCGCGGGCGCAGTGTTTTCACGACGATAATTTTCACGTGACAGGCCGCGGGTTAGTGCGCGGGAACCCGGCGATATGACGGTGTGAGATCCATCGAGCACTACGCACGTCTCTCTCGACGCACGTTAAACGCATCTTCTCCGACGCTCGCCCCGTTTACGCGCGCCCCGTTCCGAAATGCCGGATAAGGAGGAGAACTTTTGCAAGAAAATGGCAAAAGCCACCCGGGGGATACACGCGATCAGCGATGCCCTGGTGAACGCGAAACTGGCATTCGGTAAGGACCGCGAGACCCCGCCGGGAACTCCGGAGATATCGTAGATATCGAGGGGATCCCACCTGGAGTTCTCGGTACAAACTGCGCACTCGATTGCGTACTATGGCCAAAACAAAGATTTTCCGCGAGACAACAAAAGCTGATAAACAACGCTTTGTTCTTTCACTTTTATATATAGTGACCATTGTTTTGTGCCTTCAGTGGTCATTGTTAATTTTCTATAAGTCTTCTATTACTTGGCAAATATATTAATAGCATACGAATAATAAGTCCTGTGACTCAACATTAAGTGCTCTATATATCTAAATGCTATCTCGCAACAAAGAAAATCTAGTTCAATGATCGCCACAATGTGACGACTATAATGCTCAGCTTTGTATCGTATAGTCTTGTGCGCTACAACTAGGGTTTCTCGACGATTCCGTATGGGCTGATGGGCTTCTGGTTTTCTACGAGGTCTTTCGCTACCTGGAGGGTGCGATGATTAGATTAAGGAACACCAAAATTGGATTACTTCCGCTCAGCGAGCTGCAACGTACGGAGGCTTTCGAGCGCGATCTTGACCACTACTTGGGAAAGGACTGGAGGAAAAACTATAGTCCTAGGTACATGCTGTGTGCATACAACAGTATAGCGTACGACAGTATTGTGAAAATAAAATCGCTTTATGTTATGTCTCCTTCGCTTACAATGAGTAATACAGATATCAGTCTTTGAGTACAAGTAGTAAGTTGGTAATTATTACCAAAGAGAAATCTTAAACTTAAAATGTTTTACGAACTTCAGGGACAGCGTCGCCAAATATCTAATGCGCTTGAGAGAAGTGGAGGACACGGATCCCACTCTACTAATGGCGTATATCTATCACCTTTACATGGGTCTCCTCAGCGGCGGTATTCTTCTCCGGAAAAAGCGGCAGTTCGTGCAAAAGATCTCGCCCTTTAAAGCGCAACCGTCGAACGACGGTAGCAACGTCACGGACTTTGGACAGAACAGTATATTTCAGTTGAAGCGCGACTTGCGCGAATCGATGAACAGAATCGCGGAGACGCTGGACGAGGACACGAAAAATAAACTTATCGAAGAAAGTAAAATAGTCTTTGAATTGAATAACGAAATTATCAAAAGTGTGCAGACGGGCAGTCACGTTTTTGAAAAAATATTCTATTTTATCGGCCCAGTCTTACTGGTACTTTTTGTCCTGATTATCGTCCTCAATATCCTATACAAATACATTATACGTTAATAAACGTTAATTTAATTAACGCTAGTTTAACGTCAATTTACTTAAAAAAAAAAAAAAGTAAGATATACAATAGACTTTCGCTCGGCCAAAAAGTGCTGATATCAAAATCGAAATGTATAATATCGTTACTTATGCGCTATAATCTCGCCTTTATATAGTTATAAATATGGATTATTACTATTATTTGTACATGATTTAAGGATGTCCTGTTTCATACAGTTTACCATCATGTCGAAAATATTGGATTACCAAGATTTGGTAAGATCGACAAATTTTATCTATTGTGTTTCAAATCAAGCAAAAAAAAATTTAGAATGCTTTTAAAATCTTGCAATTTGCCTAAAGCTTCCACAAAAAAGAGCGACTTAATATTTCTCTTTGATAGATCTTCCTCTATAATCAGTTTCTTTCCATAACAGCAAATTCGAAATGTCGAATTTGCATTTTATCGTTATCATCATGTTAAGCAGGCCTGGTCAACTTGAAGCTCCATTGCCACGATACTTCTCCCTTTTCATCCACTCCCCGTGAATGAAAAGGGAGAAGTGTCTTGGCTCCGGAGCTCGAAGTAGACCAGGCCTGATATAAAGGGTCTGTTTTCCATTGCTGCACTAGCCGCACTAGTCTGAGAAGTGTACGTATACATTGGGTCTGTTTTCCATTGCTGAACTGGCTACATAGTTCAGAGTTTATTTTTCCTTCCAATGTGGAGTAAAAAAAATAGAAGTCTGAACTAGTGCAACCAGTTCAGCAATAGAAAACAGACCCATTGAAGCGTGAGAAACGTACATACGAGATTCACGCTTTAGTGTATAGGCCTGTTCGTTTTCGCTGCACTTCTGAACTACTACAATAAGTTAGAATGAAAGAAAATATATTTGTTTCATTGGGTCTGTTTTCTATTGCTGAACTGGCTGCACTAGTTCAGAGTTTATCTTTTTTACTCCACATTGGAAGGAAAAAGATGAACTCTGAATTAGTGCAGCCAGTTCAGCAATAAAAAACAAATCTATTCTAACTTATTGCACTAGTTCAGAAGTGCAGCGAAAACAAACAAGCCTCATGTACAGGTCTTGAACTAGTGCAGACAGTGCAGCAACAGAAAACAGACCCAAAGGATGCATTCGCAGAGCGCGTTATTAGCACTATTGCGTCATTCTATCCTTGTTTTACATTTAATGAGCGACAAAGATAGAATGCGATAATGCTAATAATGCGCTCTGCAAACGCGCAAATTATGAACGCCCAAAATTGTGCCAGCTGTCATATATACAATATACACAACAATAAAAATGCATGTACTTCGAGAGCTTTCAACTAAAACTTAAGTCAAACTTAAATTTATCGATATTATCTAAATATCGATCAACAATGTACGAGAATGTACGAACAGATAGTTACGTTTTAAACGCGCACAATTGACCAGCAAAGATAAGAGATGGTTAATATGATGGAATAACTCTCAAATCGATATCTGCACTTTCCCTATTTTGGTAATCCATTCTTCCGAGTTGTTGTATATACGTAGCTACTTTAGAACTTTTAGTATCGCCTGGATATCGTAACTAAAATTATCCCAAATCTTTGTGCGAAATTCAAAGGTAGGACTATTTTGTTTGCCCATGTAATTCTTCGTTAAAGGCGACGGACTGTCCAGACTTACGAAGGGGGGCGGCGGAATGGTTTTAAAATCTTTTTGCAATTTGCGAGCAGCTTCTCCGAACAGCAGCGACTTAATGTTTCCCTCCGGCAGACTTTTCTTGCGAGAATCTGAAAGAGAGAAATCAATTCCGATATAGTAAATCCGATATCACAATAATATCGGATTATTATTGAAAAAAAAATATATATATATATTAAAAAATAAACATTATTACTATAATTTAGATATCTCGTTAAATATATTATTTGTGGCAAGCGAGATCTGAAAATTAAATAGAAATTAAATAGAAGTAAGATTTAGATTATAAGTAAACTTAGCGTACCTTTGGCTTCTTTTTCAAATGGTTGCGCCTTGTAAGTAAAATCATTATATTTGATTGACTGAATCGCAGGATCAATTAAAAATGAACACGGTTGAGCAGGGCTGTCTATCAAGTGTTTAACTGTAGGTGATCGATCCTCTTCCTGATCTCCGAATAGGTTTCGTTTAAATGCCGTTTTCAACGCATCTTTCTTGCTGTCATTTACACCACGGCGACTGCGTGCCGGGGAAGTGTTCGATTGACGGCCAATCTTGAAATCAGGAACCTCGCTCTGTAAACGGAGCACGTGACAATGCATATGAAAGTATAGATTATAACAGAAATAAAAGTTAAACAGAATTTAAAAAAAATACAAGATATCTACTTGTGGCGGGCAAGTAGAAAAGTGATGGAAAAGCGGCTGCTGTTGCCGTTTGTTCTTTGAAACCGTCTCGACATCTCCCAACGATTTATGCCTTTGTCTTCGTACAGTTGCAATGGCGTTTCTCTCACGTTGCTGTTTCTCTTGAATCCACCGCTTTATCCGCCTGGACAAAAGAGCAACGTCGACATACACACACACACACACATGTAACAGAATTTTTCATTAAATATATGGATTTTGTAGAAAATGTTCAAATAATTACTTGACGAACGGCACCACCATGAAAAATGCATTTGGCCCAACGCCGATTTTCACTTTGGGTGTCATATCTTTCTTTGTGTTGGGCAAATCCGCTACGGCGAACCACTCGACGTTCTTTATCTCCTTCCGCGTTTTCGGTTGAAACTTCGTATCCTTTTGCACACCCGAAATAATGTACAGTCTCACTGTCTGATCGTTTATTACAGATTCAATGTACTCGTTTTTATCTATCAGGTTGGATATGTCAAAACCGGTCTCCTCCAACACCTCTCGAATGGCGCAAAGAAACGGCTCCTCATCCTCGTTGACCTTTCCCTTAGGAAAGCCCCAGCTGTTCTTCGCCCAGTAGCTTTGCACGAGCAGCACCTTGGTCATATCCTCGTTCAGCACAATTGCCCCGAACGTCGGCACGTTCTGCTTGTACTCTCGCCATTGTTCGAGCACAGCGTCAACATGCTGCACGTGCGGTTTCAAGAATGGTATGTGCTGAAATATGTGAGTGGCGAACTCCTTCATGCCGCACGACCTCAGCTTAGGATTCTCCTCCGTGCAGTAGAAGTCGAGATAAAACCAATGCGCCAATTCGATTTGAAAGCAAATTCGCACCAAATCCTTCCTCTCCTCCTCGGGCACATTGATAATGAATCGACTGCAAGATAAAATTTGTTAGATCCATTGTGTAAATATGACGAAACTGATGCTAAGAAGACACAAATATACATGCGATTCGACTATTTCCTATCAAATATCTTATTCTTATTATATTATTTCGATGGAAACCGACCTGCTAAGATCGTCAAGAATACCAGACGGAATTTTGTGCTCCATTATTCCATTCGACGGTTTCTGATCGACCGGCCTTGATGCTATTGACAATCGTGCGTGAACGCCAGCAAAGAATACGCTGTATAAAAATCGGCCCCAAAAATCTAGCGTGAAAAAAAAATCAGGATCAGTGAAATTAATCGAGATACAAATTTGTGCAAGCGCAACACGTGACCGTGGCAAACGATAATATGCTAAACAGTTACTTGAATAATTACTCACGTTGACCTGTTCTATAGGTCGTGGCACATTCGCCGATATATACTCGTCTGGATTGGAATTACTTTAAAGCGGACAACGCAACGTATACACTGGATCCACAATTATCCTGCAAAATCGATAAATATCATTTACGTAATACTTGAAGCTTAAATAACTTCGAAAATTATGTTTTTTCGGAACTAACCTAGCGGCACCAGTACCGCGCACGCAGAAGCCATATTGGCATTTAATCTACCACGACACGAGGCTCGCTCCGCGCGTCCTTCTTTTATTATTATTTTTTTCGTCCCGACTTTTGCGTCGTTCCGAAGCATTTCGAAACGTTCGCACATCGCGTACGTTACTGCGAGGGAATAAACAAAATCTTGTCGAGCGACACTTTTCATATTATACAAGAATGTTATATTGCATAAAAGATTGTAGTACATGACATTGCTTTCTTTTTTTTCCAAGGAAAGAACAAAGAGAAATTGCGAATTTATTTATTGCACGTTTGACAGGATAGAAAGAGCTTTGCTAGCTGACGAGGCCCAACAACTGTCGCAGCATAGCTTCCACGTCGCTGTCATCATCGTTCTCCAGCACCACGTCCCAGTTATCTACATCGTCCAAGTCGCACTCCGTTTCTGAATCATCTATACCTGCGGCGATTAAATTCGGTCCTGGTAAACCCTCGAAAGTGCTGGATTCTCTCTGGCGCTATAATATTTGTTACCTGGCGTGTAGACCCAGCCACGTTTCTGTCTGACTTCCTCGGGGCAAACTATCCGTACGGTTCTACAGGCGTCTCCAAAGTTTTCTATGAACCATTTGACGTCGGTTTTTCGTCTGACGTCGCTTATTATCCACACCGACTTGTCCCGCGCTGGAAAATACGTGCGTTTAGACACGTTTACGTAGAAATTAAACCAGTCATGATGTTTCATAAGGAGCTCTTTGGCTCGCAGTACCGTTACACATGTCAATAGCGGCGCGACAAAAGTAGCCGTAGTCCTTCCTCCTCATATCCTCACCCCACTTGACCATTTCCAGCCGATACTTTTCCTTGTATTCCCCATGTCCCAGTAATTGATCGATGTCGAGACCCAGAGATTTCGCCCAGTGTGATTTTATGGGTCCCGATAAGCGTATAATCGTGCCCCTTTGCGAGCCAATCCTGAAAATTGCGTAAACCAAGTGCTGTTTCAGAATGAAAAGATTACATTAATAATATATATTACTTAAGAGAAACATGGACTATGTATCCAAGTAAATAACAATCGATTCCTCAATTATCAAACACAGAAATGTATTTTTAATACAGCTTGGTATCGTCTCATCCTTATGTTAATTTTATGTCAATTTTCTGCTGAGTAACGCCACTTGCGTTACTTTATCTACGAATAATGACAAAATATCGTTGTGGTACCTGTTGTACAAGATATCGGTGATGTAGTCCTTTCCAGATTTCCTCTTGCCGCTAAATAAGAAAATCCTCGCCGGTTTCGTCGGACTACTCGCGATTTTCGTGACGTCGCGCGCGTCCAGCGTCCGGTCTGTGGCCATATTGACGTATAACTGTACGAGTCGTAAGTGGCATAAATTATTTAAAAAAAGCGCCGAAACGATAAAATATCAAGTCTGTATGGAACTGTACTTATCACCTACTTTCCACTCACTCCACTTTTATCGAACTACATACGAAATTACGAAACTAAAGAGAGGGTGAAACTGATTTTTTAACCACAAGTGTTTTTTTTTTCCAATTTATTTTGACAGAGTCATTAATTTACGCTGAAATTATTTCTTATTCTTAGCTTCACGAAGGGCCTTTCGTTGCTCTGCCCTCTTCAACTGGGCCTTCGGTTTCAGGTTATGTTTCTTTGCGAAGCGTTGGTTCCTCAAGAACTTGAGATCCATCTGAAAAGTGTGTGCAAAAGATAAATGTAGGATTTTATGATACGTGTGAGAATGGACATCACGAAAATCTTTAAATTATTTTAAACACTAAAGACACACATAGAGGGTATTATTTACTAAATGACGTTTCCTCTTGCACAATATTTTACATATCTTTTTCTTTTGCTACGTTAAAAGGCCATGAAACAAAATAGAGGAATGAATAAAAGCACAATAAAACATGTCGATAAAACTTACGCCGAGTGTGCTTTCGTGCCTGTATCTCTTTGGCTTTTTAATGCCATTTCGATGCGCCTTCCTGTCTGAAAATATACAAGAATCAACAGTTTAGCCAGTGATAATTTAAATGTTAGATTTATCTAAAGAATTTTACATTAAATATTTTACTAAATTTAACCCTAGAATCCATGACTGGGGTCGATTTCGACCCCAGGCGAACTTTGAACTACGCTCCTGAGCTAGCGAGTGACATTATCGACTCAGGACCTGAACCATAATTCATTTCAACTTTCTAAAAGTAGGGTTATGTCGGGCGCAGCGTTAGTTGTTCGCTAGCAGTGAAGTAGCACAGTCGCAAAGCGGGCGTGGGGTCGATATCGACCCCAGTCGTGACTTGCCGTTTGAGTTTCGTCACGGTAAGCTAATTTTATTTTTTTGCTAGAATCAATATATATCATGTATTATTACGTAATCTGAGCATAAATAGTCATAAATATTATTTAAGACGAAATATCACACAATTTAGTCGGTAAAAATCCCGTTGCCTATAGAAGATTGACATTTCGCAGAAAATGGCTGGGCGATATAATGTTTCATTTTTTTCATATTTTTTACTATTTTGTATCAAATAAAAATGAAATAATACTTAAAATACAATTTTTTATGGTTTTTTCATCGACTTTTTCCGTATTTCAACTTTGCGAATTTCTTCATCTTTATAGTCCCAAATAAATATACTTTTTGAACAGAACATAGCGATGACAATTTTTTTCTAATAGTCTAATGTGTCCTCTTTAAAACCCCGTTTGAAATTTTAAAATCGGTTGATTACAAAAAAAAGATACAAATTTTTGTTTAAAAAAAGAGGTTTTTGCTGATTTTCTGCGTTTTTCAGTCTTTAAATGGATTTTTCACTAACTAAACTTGAGTAAAATTAAATTTACCGTATACCATTCTCTTCGTTATTAAAAAACGAAGAAATTCATGTAGGTTTAAAGGCCCTTTATTTCTGTAGGACCGGTTTTACGATCAAATAAAGCGTGGGGTCGATATTGCCCCCAGTCATGGATTAGAAGGTCAAAAAAATGTATCATGGATTCTAGGGTTAATATATACAATTTGATATTTCATAATGCTACCTCAAAAGCATTAAAATTATGTGAAACATCTATGTTTATAAAGATGCAACTCTCTCTAGATTTTCTGATAATTTATTGTAAAATATACTTACTCTGGTTATGATTTGTGTGATTCTTGGACTTGGCCATCTTCTGGATTTACTTATTCCTACCTGTAATAATATTTCATTATTTCAAAACACTGCTGTAAATATATTAGTAGTTGAGATTGAGGTTAGGAATCGTGAAGGAAAAACTATCATCTCTCAAGTATTCACGCACATAATACACGTGAGAAAGTACAATGATTTTGTTTAGTAATAAGTAAAAAAAGTTGCGATTCTTTAAGTATATCTCGATTTTAGCAGATTGAATGGATTTTAACAGGGAAAATAATAAAACTTCGAAAAACCGTACGCAAGCTTTCGGAAACGGAAGCGGGAAGAAACGTGGTCGACGACACTGGTCGAACGAACGTGCTGCTGAAAATGGACCATGTAGCGACGCCAGCGCCAAACGACTCTCACAACAATCCTTTATGATTTGAAATACATTTTGTTAAAATAATACCATTTAAAATAATATAAATACAATATTTTTAAAAATAATAAAAAAGACAAAGAGAGATATTTTAGAAAGAATATTCAAACTCTTTCAAAAAAATGTGTATTTAAAATACCAAGTATGTTAAAGTTTTTCTCAACTCTTCTGGAATAAAATTATTCTAAGCAATTCAATTCTTATATTAATTAATTTCAATTTTTATTTAATTTTTTACACACTTAAAATGTGATGTTTTTATTGAAAATTTTGCATACATGCATACATATATTTATAGTGAAGAAAAATATATGAAATACTCAATATATACTTAACACATTCACAAGTTATTTTGATATGAAGATACATTTTGCTCTTGTCGACTTAAAAATATATAATTTTACACTATTGCCAGAATAATGTATACAACAAAATATAGAATTATACTGATTAATCTTAAGCGTGTTCATGTACTACAAAGTATATCACAGCCAAATGCTAATACTAATAATGATTCCACATTAATCTAAAATAAACTTCTCATTTATATAGATGTCGAATCATTATCTTATTAGAACTAATTACTTTAAATAAAAGTTTAACTAGTTACAAAAAAAAAACTAATATAAACGAGCATAATACAAAGCATAGCAACACATTTTAAAATATGTCTATTGCACTGTTCTATTGTACTATTCAAAAGCATTATTGAGAAGGTATTATTTGAAAAGTTTTAGCTTGATGTCACAACATGTGAGAGGTACAAAAGATTGTACTATAAATATCCGTGTGATTTTTGCAAACGCAAATCGCACTACGGAATGCATATCGATATTTGAAGTATCGCTCTTTATAAACCGAATAATTGTCTTTGCAGCACAATCCAATCCGTGACTTTTTGCTGGATCCGTCGTTTTTCCAATAGAGCCGTAGCAGCCTTTTGAAATTTCTCTTCGTTTCGACGTACGTACATCCTTGCATCCTGTTCCATCAGACTGATCTTTTCGGGTCGGATTTCCACCATCGATAACATTTCCGTTAAATAAGGGTTAAATCTGAAGTAAACGTGATCGGGTAGCAGATCGTTGAGCATCGTATGTACAGCTGAAAAACCGAGATTGATGTTACAAAAAACTAATCAATTTTACCAATTACATTTTTCCTTAATTTATTTCCAAATAGCAGCAATGCAGTTAATTAGATCGCCTTTGTTATATCATATTAGTATTACCCTCTGTATCGGTGGCGCTATCCAGAATTTTGTAAAACTTCTCTCTCCAGCTCGAGAGTGCTATCGCTGGAGATTCGCTTTCGTTGATGCGATGTGGGATTCGACCTGTTCCGAATGATATGACGCATTGGATCGGATTATTCGGCCACAGTTGTTTGGCTTCGTGTATCGCCACAGCGCACGGGTTATTTACCAGAATACCTGAAGCAATATAATCGTTCTCGATGACATTGCGAACATTTTTATTTGATTTTTATACGGTTTAGGGCCGGTTTTTCCAACTTGTTAAGTAAACTACCTAATAGTTAAATCATATATGTCTTTGTTTATCCTTTTCATTAAACAAAGATAGACGATTTAACTATTAGTTAGCTTACCAACAGGTTAAAACAACCGGCCCTTACTCGCCGGAATAGTCGCGTAGCTTACCGCCGTCCTGATGAAGATAATCGCCGTATTTATATTCCTCAAAGTAACTCGGTGCAGCAGCTGACGCTCTCACAGCTTCCCACAATTTGTACTTGTGAGACCCCATGTACTGGCTCTCCACTCCGTGCGGAAACGTGTAATTTCTAAACACGTAAGCCATAACGTGCTCGTGATTTACCACGGCGGATATTGCTGCAAACTAAAAATGCAGACACAGTTGAACGCCTCTCTACATTCAAATTACCTCGCCTGTACAAGTCATGCATTATGCATTTTCTTTCGCTCGACAATATATATTAAAATCTACACACCTTCGGTGCATTTGGATCGCGCGTGGTCTTAATAAGAATCTTGTCGCCCAAATGCTCCGCTAATAATTTTTCCCACAACGCGGTATCGTAATACGCGTGACTCCAGACTAGACTGCTCGTGCCTTTTATAGCACTCTGCGTGAATACCCTGGTGCTCAGTTCCTTGTACAATGACGAAACTTCATCCAATGACTTTCTCTTGTGTCCTCCTGCAATAGCGAGTGAACAATAAAGCTTGCGATAAACAGTAACTTCACAAGACATTCTTTTTACATGCGGAACCATCCACATGCGAAACATGCTGTAAATCCACGTAAAAAGTTTACCTTCCAAAATATCCTTTGGCAATACTGCATATAGATGACATACAAATTAATTTGGACGCACACAACAAACTTGTTACAAACGAAAAATTAGTAACTCTTTATATTATAAAAATTAATAACTCTTTCTAATGTTATCTTGTAATAATTAATGATTATTAAGAGACTAATCAATGAATATTTCTAGACTCCTACATTAAGCAATTACCTAATACAGCAGCGAGAATGGCTCCTGTGCTCACGCCGCATATATAATCGAACATTTCGTAAGTCTTCTTCCCCGTGAGTTCCTCCAATTTCTTCAGCATCTCTATAACCAATACTCCGCGAATGCCGCCGCCGTCGATCGACAGGATTCTGATACCCCGACCAGGTAGAGGATCGATGTAACCCATTACAGCCAGCGCTTCTCTAATAGATGCTGCAAGAATCACGTTGAAGTAATCATAAGTAACCGTTGTCAATGGTAGAAGGTGGTCGCATCGTCATTCAAAATTTATTTTTCTCTTGTATACCTTTAATTTGTTCATCCTTCGTCTTTTGACGAGTCCTCAATAAGATTCGAATCGCTCCCTCTTTAATCGCATAATGTCTTGCCTCTGGATACTGATCGACGTGCAACAACAAATCCTCCAGTCTGCGCAACTTCGAGGCATTTGACTCGGCCGACGCGATGCTGTTCAAGACGTGACGCGTGCGGGAGACGATGCTGTGCTTCGGAATATTGCTGTGGATGTTCACCTTCCACTTCGGTATGACGACGGCACTTGGCGTAGCTTTGGGAGATAACTTGGGGAACAACGTGGAGAAAATTTGCAGCATTGTTACGCCATCCTTCGATTCAGCTTTGTCGGGGATGCCTAGCTGTCCTGGCTCACGAGTTTGCTGCGCAGAGAAATTTAACTCTTCGCACAAAAAGCACAATAAATACTATTATTGCCTCGTCCAGTTTACAAATAATTACCTGTTGTGTTTTCGGTTGCGCGGCTCTTGGATCGGGATCGGCGACCGATTCTGCTTGCTCGGACACTAACGTTAGCTTCACGTTCTCCGGATCATTGCCGTCTTTGTGCTTTGTGCTCGAGGTCTTGTCGGTATCGGTGGTGTTGACAGATCCCGAAGACGATCCCAATTTTCGTATCGTCTCGAGCTGCGAATAGGTTAATTTCTGCAGGCTATCCAGCCAATCCTTGGTGACAACGAGCTGTTGATTCTTCTCGTAGTTGGCCTTGTTCAGATAGTCTTTCAATTGCGATATAAGCTTCCACTGATTCTGCATGGACATTGTGATGGTCTTTAAATCATTTATAGAGCGTAAAAATCTGTCTGTGGCGCTCGTTACATTTCCACCGGCGTCCTTGCCAGCCGCGCTATCCGTAAGTTGCCTGTAATCAAAAGACACTCTTTTTTTTCTGCATTTCTGACAAGTACAATCGCATACTGATCTTATTCTTTCCGCATTTGCAAAACGTGAATGCACAAATTGTTGCAAACTCATAGAAATAAATTTTAAAGTGATTTCGATCCCAAACTCCGATCAACTTGATTGGCAGAATCGCCGATCAAAAGCAGAGGTCATTTAACGGCACAACCCTCCCTTTGATATCTTTTTATGTCAAACAGCAAAATGTTTAATAATTCTGGTACAGGTACGATTTGATAAAATTAATCGGAGTTTGGTCGAGATAATTCACTCTCGGGAATAAAGAAGCACCGAAGTCGAAAGTATAACCTCTTTATTGTTCGAGAACGTTCACGTTCAGGTAACGCGCATGTTCCTCGTCTACTTCCATCTTGCGATCGCAATTATTATACGCGCGCGTAGCTTCTACCAGACTGAGAACTGAATTCACTGAATATCGATTCGGATTCGGAGTGCCGCGACAACGAAGGAAAACGGAATTCCGTCGCCGCTCGACGCGCCGTCGCCGACGTATTTTCCACAGCTGTCAAAGTCAGCTGATCGCGCGAGGGATCGAATTGGATCGAACGAGAAGACGTCTGTCCTTTTAAGCCCTTATCGGACCACGGATCGGGATTGAGATTGGGTTGAAATTTGACCATTCGGAGTAAAGTTCACTAAACCTGATATCAGCCCTTCTTTATTCTGATTGATTAAATTTCAATCCAATCTCAATCCCAATCCGCAGTCTGATATACGGGTTTTAGGGCCTGTTCGTTTTAGCTCAACTTCTCTCACAGTCTTTTCTCCTTTTCGCTCCAACGTGAAAAGGAAAAGAGAAAAGACGAACCGTGCAAGAAGCTCAGTTAAAACGAAACAGGCCTCTTCTCTCGAGTTGTCTAACCTGACCCGTGGCTCATTCGCCTGCGTCTGTGCGCATTTATATGACTTTCTTTTCTTTTTTTTTCCCCCCCAGAAGATTACTAATTCAATTATCGTGCCGACATTTCGATAACGTCATGGAGGATCATTACTGGCGGATAGCAGATACCGTTAAATGACTCAGCAGCTATTTAAGTCGACAATGCATTTCCGTGCAACGGCTTTTCGTTCGCTAGATGAAATTACAACTGGCGATGACGCACGCGATCAAAGTAGTTTAGGCTGATTTCGATTAGTTTCAATTAACTTAATCGGATTAAGTTTCCATTTCCACCAATATGTAGATTAACTTTATTCTCGATTTAGCTTTACTTTTTCATCATTTCCTTTAGACGATGATAAAGAGTAGGCTAAACCGAGATTCAAGTTTAATCCGCATTGATTGAAATGGACATAATCAACAGAATTGTTTCCAGCAAAATTTCGAGCTATATGATTCGTTGTCTCCATTTAAATTTCTTTCCCACGTCAACAAATAAAAAAATATATTCTGTCCATAAAAAAAATAGTTAAGGCGTTACTCGACGAATCAGTCGTATAATTTCGGTGGAAGTCATTTCAGAATTGTTTCAACGAAATTAATTTTATTTAGGCAAAAAAATTTAGGGTTAATTTTACGCTCGTTCCTCAACAAATCTGCAATTTCTTTATATACACTTGTCACACAATCTATACGTTCTGTTCTTTATTGTAAATCAAAGCGTGATCTCACTCACCTAGTTAACACAATGCACTTTCGGCAGCGCGTCGCGTGTCTATTAAAAGACATCGTGAGGATCGCAGCAGATCAATATATCGACCCGCGCCACTCTCTATCTCCTCTTCCTCGGAGATGTTTCAATCAAACGCCAACAAAGTCAATTCGTTCAACTTTCCTCTCCGCAAATGTTTCGAAAGAGGATCGAAATTGACAGTTTCGATTACCAAAACTGTCAAGAAAATCAATGAATTGAATTGAACCCAATCAATCTTCGCGATGACAGAAGAAGAAAGAGAAATATATGATCGTGTTCCGCCGCAGCGTCCGTCTAGAACTTTCGCGCTGACACTAAACGCGACTCGGCGCCGTTTCAATTCTTATACGAGTGCAACACGTGACGTCCCGGCGAGTTTGCCAGCTCGCCTCGTAAATAAAGATCGTACGACGCCGACGGAGCCAACCAGAGGTGGTCGCGCGACACCTTCGTTTACCACGGTGCAACGACATTTGGGCGAAGACGAAGGGCGGAGGGTGAAGAGAGAAGTCGACAGGTTCTCGGAAGCTGAGTCAAGAGACGATCTCATCACGATATGTTTGTTTACGTCCGGTCTTCCGTACGCGTCCAATATCGCGGTTATCCCGCGGCATGCGCTTCCCTCACGCAAGACGACCAAGCGCGATGTAAACATTGAGGCACGTGCATCTGCTGTCATGTGCGCGATTTCGACAGCTTCCTGCTTCGTCCACAACTCTCGCGAATTAACTTCGTATCTCGTCCGACTTCAGCGACGTGCGATCTGATTATTATACTATAATTATTATGGTAGATTGTTTGCGCATCGACATTTGCGCGTTGACTCTAACGCCCTTGTTTTCCCGTCCGATGATTCATTTCAGATCAATCGTATCAATAGCACAATAGCGTATCAATAGCGATACTAAGTAATGCCAAAATATGCGAGCGTCGCATTTTATCGCTCTCTTGAACAACATAAGGCCGGGTATTCATAGTCGGTTCTTATATTTAAGACCATCTTAAGTACAATCTTAAGATTTCATTAACCAATCACAGAGCCGTATTAGCATCTTAAGATATTACTTAAGACGGTCTTGAAATAAGATCTGATTATGAATACCGGCCATAAGAAACGTTGCTGCAATGATTACTAAATATAAATAAGAAGCAAAGTCGTGCGATTAATTCCACACTCCTGTCTTCATTTATGAAAAAATAATTTGGTATGAATGAAAGATTGTTCCAGTTTTCCGAAATTTTCTCGATTTTACTTCCAACATTTAATATCGTGCCAATAATATTACATCAGGTTGCATAATAATTTTTCGAAAATACGATATTAGGATAGGCATTGAAATAATTACGAGACTTTCAATTTTCTTCATTTATTTAGCAGCAGCGAAAAATGCTTTACAAATAAATATTGAAATACGTACTTATCGCATTCCCTTAATCTTTAACCCTTAAATGAGCGATTTTTGTAGCATTCTGAGTACTTTTTAAATAAATAATAGGCCTTCCTATCCAGAAGGAAAAGAAGGCCAGAGAAAGCCCTTCACAGATATGCAAATAAGCCACGCATTTTCAGTTCGAACTTCATAAAAGAGATTATATTACATAATATATCGAGAAGTTGTTTTGCATATATGCAAAGCACTTAAGGATTAAGACAATTCCACTTAAGAGAAAACTAGCACAGAAACGAGTTAATAAACGGCTACCAAAATTCCTGAGAAAAAGGGTTACGTACTAAAATAACAGTTGCGCGCTTCTAAAAAACAACAAACAGGTGTATATAGTATATAAAGTTAAATGCGATTGTTTATCACGATTGTTTATCACGTTTATTTCGTCTAACATAAGTCGCCTGATCGCCGCGACAAATAAGTACTTGTGCGCACGTCGTTTTTCGAACGAACAAACACGTCTCTCCGGAAGACCATGATTTGGCTCGCACGTGGATCGGGTGATGTTACGACGTCATGCCGTAAATCGAGAAAGGCTAGCTCGCTACACAAGGAAGTCATCCCGATTGGCTCGTGCCCAGATGACCTTGCTGGCTGACTGGCCGAGTCGCGGAGGCTCGATCGTCGTATCGCGCCATTTTTCTTTCACAGAAAATTGGCTCGCTACGGACTCCGTTAAGCCGTAATGACGCATCCATTCACGCACGGATTACACGTCCGTCTCGATGAGGACGGAACCAGGATTTCCGGGTGCGCGATTGCGTATCGTATCGTTCCCTCGAATTATTGATATTTATGATATTGTACCGGAGATGCTTTATTCCAGAAATTATGCAATTATAACAAAAATAAACGATAATTATTATAAGACGTACAATAATGATATTAGATGAATGATAAAGATATTAATAATGATATTGTCACTGGCCATTGCTATAAGATCGTAATTCCGTATCTGGAATATCTCTCTGTTATCATTTAATGATTTATATATAATCAATACTTTGCCGACCGTCCGCGTAGATAATATATCTGTTTCATGATCCATTATTAAACGGCTAAATGGATAAATCCACTGGCGAGTCTGTCCCAGGGGAATGTGTTTTAATATTAAAACACTCCTTTTTCAAATTAAAAAAATCAGTTTTGCTGCATCTGCTTTAAAAATCTAGGGAAAAAAATGCATGAAGTGTTAAAGCAAAATCAGAAGTTTCACCACGTCCTCGTCGTTAATCTTGAAGTAAAAGCTAAGCGTGATACTAAGAATAAGAAAAATATCCAACTAAATTTTGCCGACAAACACCTTCCATTATCAGGATCCGTTAGTGGATAGACCTATCTGTTTTGCGTCACATTCTTCTATGATTCTTAATTATAGTTTGTAGTAATAAAAGAAATTATAAGGAGAAGAAAAAGGATATTTTCAAGATCAATGCAGATCATAAAAATTGTGCGGTGCTTTATTCAGGGTGAAACTCTTACGATTTACAGTAAAGTGTTAATAGTTCTATTATTTTTTTTTTTTAGAATTTTTCTCTGGCGAAAGAGATCCCGAGGATCATAGACACTCCTAAATCAATCCGGCCACAATTTTACGTTTATCCTCACTGTCGAACACGCTATAGAAGTCCTATAATAGAATCTCGCGTGTTCGCTATACCCAACAGAAAATCCCTCGGGAGGTTTAACGCTACGCGCCACAATGCACTTCATTCTGCTGAAAGGCTCATCCGCCGGTAGCCGCGTTATCTCGAATCGATGTACTTTCGACGCGGATTCTCGCATCTTGGATTTCCCAGGCATGCGTGCTTGTACAGGGTGCTTCAGATCAGATCCGCCCGAGCCGCCCTTAGCGTACAGATCATATGCGGTTGCGCTAGTAGGGAAAAAATCACTTCCATCAACCCCGAGAAATCCGTAAAGCGGATCCGCGACAGCCTGCATATCACGCGTATACAATCGGCACAATTGCCGTCGGACATTGGAAATCCGATCGAGGCTCAGATTCGCTGCATATTTATTTTCGCGAGAATTGGCACGAGATCCTGTTTCACGTGTTCACCGGAGAGCGAAATCCAGGAAGAAATATTGGAAGAGATTTTTCTTTTGTTTGAAAGGTGATTGATTTCGAAACTTCGGTTGATCTACGGGTGCAAAAATCCACCTCCCCCGCGACTTCGGGGTCGAAAAGCGTCGGGAACGAGATTCGAAAATCGCGATAATTTACTTATTTTCATCCCGCGATTCGTATCTACGCGTACGAAGCATAATTAGCGCGTGCCGTGACATTTTTTCCCCTTTTTTCCCTCTTTTTTTCCTACTCGCGGATACCTCCGAGGGGCGCGTCGGATTGCGCATTGCCACGGCTCCGTGGGACTGTATCAACCCCTATATAAGGCTGAATCCTTCCCCGCGAAAGTTTAGACGTGGCTCAGCGGGCGGTCCGACGTGTGATCGTTCCCTTTTCCGTTTTCTTTTTTTGTTTTCACGACATACACGTGACCACCACCCTGCGTGTGCGGGGATCCCAGCCCTTCTCTCCCCGCGATTCGAGAGAATAACCCTTCGCCTCGTTATGTTCGCGAAGACGAGGTCGTTCGTGCTGTCGGTCATTGTTGCTTCGCAAGTGTCGTGGCTCGTGAGTGGTAAGACGTTTGCTTATTCACAAAGATGTTTTTCCTTTTTCGTCGGAATGTACTTTCTTATTGCGCAAAGTGCCCCGGAATCCCACAATTTTCGAACGAGATCAGATCAATTTTTATCTGATTAATTTTATTTAACTTAACACGAGATATACGCGCGCACATATTACTTTCTTTTATTATAATAATTTTCTTTTAATTAATACGCGCTCGCATTGTTTTTTCTCTGCTGTTGTAAAGTATTATAATATACTATGTCTGGTGCGTAAAAGAAAAGAAACGGATAATTTTCTCTGGAATAAAATTATTTAAGTGCTAGTATAAGATCCACTTTTAATGCACTTTTATAAATATATATAAACGAATTTTAATATCCCTGTTGAATGATAATAAGGTACATTTCAAGAAATACACACACCTATGGTAAAATCTTACTTTTAAAGAACATCCACGTCCATCGATTTTCTTTTATCAAAAGTTTACCGACATGCTGTTTAATATAAGTGATGATAAATGTTTCAATATGCAACTTACGTATCAATCCCTATATAAGGCTGAATCCTTCCCCGCGAAAGTTTAGACGTGGCTCAGCGGGCGGTCTGACGTTTTTCGTTTTCTTTTTTTGTTTTCACGACACACACGTGTATCAACGTTTTATTTTACCACTTAATAAATACAATTGTTAACTCTTAAATGTGCAATTTCGTAAGCATTCTGAATATTTTTTCAATAAATAGTGACCTTCTGGGCCTTCCCATTCAGAAAAGAAAGAAGGCCCTTTACAGATGTGCAAAGCCGCGCATTTTCAGTTCGAACTTCATAAGGGAGATTACACACGGAGAATCGAAAATTCGCTTTGCATATATGCAAAGCTGCGCACTTAAGGGTCAAGCGTGTTTTGCGCGACTTTATCGATTTGCAGTTCATTTGAAATTTCTATATGTTTCGATGGCGGGAATATGAGCTCATTGGATATGCATGGCTTGTAGTTCAGTATTCTATGTCCCCTCTCGGCTTTTCTACTGTGTGTAATCGCGCGTATGAATAAAACGAATGTATTTTCTGTGTGATTTCTTCAACAAATAGCGACACGTCGGCAGCATTTCTTCTGCGTAGTTGCGCAAATTAACGCCCCGGCGTTTCAATTTGCAAATTCGAATCCCAAGTTATTCCTGCACAGTCGCATTGCAGTTTTTCAATTACAAAAGTTATTTTGATTTATTGTGAAATATTTTATTCGAGTTAAAGCGTCTGTAATTTTACATATGAGCAGCTTTTGAAATAATTGCTGGAATTTTTTTAAGCAACATATCTTTTGCAAATATCGCAGAGATAATTATTCTCGGCTTTGTTCGTCCTCGATTTCAAGCCCGTGTTCAAACACAGCATTATTTTCGATTAAGCGTTCAAAATGCTTGTCGATATCCACACTCGTGACACGACGGAATCTCACTCCTTTGATCCGCTTCGTAGTGGATTACGGAAATCCTCTGCGGGTGTATAACGTGGGCGTACTCATGGCATCCCATCTCGACAGCCCGTTTGATCTTGAGCGATGTGGCCCGGCGGTCGACCTGGCTTTGGAAGAAGTCAACGAATTCCTGAATGTTCACAACGTGCAGCTGCGCAAAGTTCAAGGAAGGTAACTTTGTGCCCAATATTACTGTCGGCAAACGTAGGGAGGAGGATCGTCCATCATTTTAGACGCCGTATCAATCAAAACTGACGAAACAGCGAGGAAAATTATCAAATTCGTCCGTCGAGTCAATTTAACAATCGCCGACGTCTAATCTTCTCAATGCACGATAACGAAAAACATGTATACCGGATGAAAGACGCGTAAGGGTGTCTCGCCATCGTAATTCTCCCTCATGTCCCTTTAATGGACCGGCCGTTCGTAATGCGTGCTCCTGTCATTTTCGTTTGGTGATTTTTTATTTTTTTTTGCCGTTTCGGTCGTTGCTACAACGGGTGGAAAGAAATGCCGTCGAAGGAGGAAAAAGTACGTGATAAAAATATTCGAGATTACGAGTATGTCTAAGAGGTAGTCACGTACAATGACTGTGATGTCATAAACGTAAATAAAAGACATTCCTTCGCATCGGATGAGAGACGTCATTACTTTCTGCACCGTGATACGCGAATCTTATATTATTTCCCGCCGAGTTACATTTTGCGCGCGTTATAATTCGTTTCGCTGCTCACGTGCACCCCTTTTGCGTCATTACATTGATACAATTGAACAGGCATTTGCATGGAAAGATGCGCTCGTGATATATAAACCGTACAACCCTCTCGAGAGATCGGCGGCAAAGGAAAAAAAAACGACGAATTATCTACGACAGAAAATTATTTTTACGTACGACATTCGCTATTATATCGATCCATTTCTCTCCTCCATACACGGTCGTATGAAAAATGTATTCATATGCATACACGGAGTATGTACCGCCGCGCCTATGTCTACGTTACGTGGTTTAATATTTATATCTGTTTCACGGGGATTACACACTGAGGTTGTAATCACTTTTTTAGCGATGGCATCGAGATATATCTTTATAACGGCAGTACTTATAATTAATTGCGTTGTAAAATAACCTAATGAATTAATCCCCGACGAAAATTCCAACAATTCGTTGATAATTATACGTATCTGTTGAGCGCGAATTACACGTTGTTGTAATCATCATTTTAATAGCGGCCTCGAGACGTCCTTGTAACGGCATTTAATTAACCGCGGCGTAAAATGGCCGTTCTTCTAATGAATTAATTCCTGACAAAAATTCCAATAATTCGTTAATAATTACATTATCCACTGAGCGTGAATCACGCTGTAATCGCCGTTTCAGTACTGGCACCGAAGTCCCGCGTCTTTATAACAGCATTTAATTAACTGCGATGTAAAACTATTTTTGTAATTAATTAATTCCTGATGAAAATGATTTATTGACAATTACAGATGTTACGCGGGTGTTACAATCACTGTTGCAATTCTTATTTCCATGAATTAACCCCCGACGAAAATTCCAACATTTATTTTGATTTATTGACAGTTTCGTACGCGAGCGTTGTGGAAATTAAATTCTTTTCTATCGCGAACCGCGAGATTCCCCAACCGTCCGCATTGTCATTGTAAACATTTGCCGGAGAAACCGCGGCATTTCTGTGTGCCGCGCCGCATTCTCAACATTTTCAATTAGCGCAGATCGATCTCGGGGAATTCAATCATTGGCCATTCATCGGGCACAATTAATGCGCCATTATCTCGAGTTGTTGCTCGCGGCGACGCGTCCCGTTCCCTATACGCGACGAATGCACCGTGATTATTGTTGCTATTCGTCGCTAATTGCGCGTACGCGGAATATTCGCACCGAAATGCGCATTTCGCCCCCTCAAGGACGCGGTACGTGCGTCACGTGCAACTGCACACGAGTGAGAGAGAGAGAGAGAGAGAGGGTGAGGACGTTCGGCTTATCCCTCTCGCTATCCACCCCCAGTAATCCAATCGTATTGTGTTTGCGTTTTAATACGTGATACATGCGATCCATCATATAGTCCACTTTATGCGTCTTCACTGATTGATATTAACCGTGTACGCGTACATTTTCCATTATCAATGCAGGATAGGATTGTACATTTCTACGTTAACGCGGGAATTGGACTGCTGTAACCGCTGAATTCGAAAAATAAACACAGGGCTTTTTCGTTTAACGATTAAATAGCAACGTGAACATGCATTCACGTGTGTATTAATATTAAAAACTCATATTATTGACTACATCTACATACAAAGGGATCAAGAAATATTGAAGTTATTAATTGTTTAAAAATTAAATGAAATCTCTAATCCAGCCCTTAGTAAAAGCTGAAAGAAAAGAAATATCAAATCTTTTTCTTTTCTTTATATTTATAATTATCTGTTTGCATAGCAAAGGTTTTAAAATTTGTCGATATAAAAAAATAATACACTTTTCCAAAACTTGCGACATTAAAATTTCACAGGCAAGACAATTTTTTTATCTTGTCAATAAAAAAGAATTAAATATTTCAAAAATCTCTTGAATCACTTCGTGACCAAATATAGAATGTATGTCAAATTTGAAGTAATCTGGTTGAAAAACTTTTTAGTTATATCAGAACCATCGTTTTGAGAAGACCATGATTACAGTGTACTCATTAATCTAATTTATTTCCTAATTTGTAATAAAACAAAAATAATATTTAAAAAATGAGTAATACGTGTACATAAATTTTCAGAAAATTTTATTTTTTCCAATTTTTACAATGGTCTAATTTCTATATAGCCAGGATTTCTTTCTAATAGTTATAACTGTGCTAAAAGACTGAGACAATCATTTGCGTATTTGACAATAAATCGAGACCAAATCAATTCAAATCAACGTTGATTTAAACTGATCGCGATACTTAACAGACGGTCGGATGTTGAACGACAAATGTTCGGTTCGAATTTCTCAGTTATCCGACCTGCAGCGGGGCGAGAGCACCCGGTTTAGCGGCGGACATGCATTTCCGGGACAACGTGATCGCATTCGTCGGGCCAGCCTGCGCCTTCGCTCTGGAACCGGTAGCACGTCTTGCGGCCTACTGGAACAGTCCAATTATCACTGGCATGGGTGATCAAGTGAGTCGCACTTGCTTTTGCGCTGTAGGTACACGTGTCAGCATCTAATTATCAACTCCACACCGTACATTTCGTCCGCGCGATTAATTTACCATAAACGTTACATTTGCCGTAACCTCGGCATTTGACATTAATTAATCTCGCAACGATGGTCCTTGAAGACCACCCGAGTAGAGGGATGCCGTAACTGTAAATTCGTGAAATTGCGTTAAATTAGATCAATCTCCCATCTCGCATCCCTATTTTCTAATGTCCCATTTTGATGTCGCATCGTACATTTTGATATTATTACTCCGTATTGTGTCAACGTTAATATTAAATTATATATGTGAAACGTGATTATCACTTTCTTGCGAACCAAGCCTCCCTCGGAGGGCGAACTGTCAGTCACGTCCGGTATCCTTGGAAGGATCCATAAGTGGAAGAATGAAACGTCGGTAAGAAGCGAAAGAGTCTCATAGAATCTTTTCCTTTCTTTCCAATTGCTGCGAATGTTAAGCATTTATGATAGTTGACGTTGCTTGTCTGACATTTTATTTTTTTTAAATATAGCATCATTAATATCTTAATTAGCTGCTCGCTAATTACGACGAAGGACAGTCTGAGAGAGATAAATACTCTTGCATAATAATGTCACCTTACCCTCTCTCGTAAAACTCATTAAGCTCGGAATAACTATGTACGTCACAAGTTTCTCGTAATAATTATCACCATATCCCACCTAATTACTTGAATGATATCTGATATATTATCATAAATTATTTACTTTTCTTAACATATTGCTTTGACAAAAGATGAAGTCTCACGGTAGAGTCCAGATATTTTTTTCTCGTAGCCGATCTTTTCAACGACAGGATCTTTCGCGCTAATGTATCCTTCACCTTCTTCTCGAAGGGAATTTTCAAAGATAAAAGCAAGTACCCCACTTTAACGAGGATGTCGTACTGCCAGTGCCGTTTGCGGCTCGTCTTCGCCAGTGTGTTCAAGGAGTTCGGTTGGTCCCACGTCGCGCTGATACTGGACAGGTCGGACCTGTTCTCGTTGACGGTAGGGAAGAATCTGGAGTACGGTCTGCGCAAAAACGGGCTCCTGAAATTCGTGAGGGAGCTGGACGGGAATTCCGAGGACGAGTCGTATCACCTTTATCTGCGCGACGCGAGTATGTACGCGAGAAGTGAGTGATCGCTCTTGTCTTACGTTTGCAGAGTGTTCCGGAAGACTTGACATAAATTCTCTCTCGGAAGAAATTGACTCTAAATTTATTAAAATTATAAATATAGATACATCTTTATTGTAATTGTCATTGAAACGGATTCTAGGAAAATTGCGATTCAGAAACGCTTCAGAAACGTTCTTAATGACGATTAAAGTAACAATTTGTTAACAGTCGTGATACTCAGTGTTCGTGGAACGCTGGTCAGAAGATTTATGCTGGCCGCGCACGAATTGGGCATGACGAGAGGAGACTGGGCTTTCCTCGACGTTGAGATATTTCACGTAAGGCCATAAAAAATGAAAAAATAATATCGTAAACCCGTCATACATCAACGTGACAGCAAAACTGTATCACGCGTGACACTTCTCCATCAATATAAAAGCGATCAAATAATTTTCAAGGGTTCCTACTGGGGCGATCACGACTGGGAGGTCGGGGACGAGGACGATGCCAATGCCAGGAAGGCTTACGAGGCTCTGCTAAGGGTGTCTCTCCTTCAGCCGACCAGTCCGCGATTTCAGGATTTCGCTGAGAACGTCAGGCAACGCGCGCAAACTAATTACAATTACACATTTCCGGAGGGTGAAGAGGTGAGGTCCAATTAAAATAAGATTTCTCTAAATCTAATCTTGAGAGCACAATGACATTCCGAAACTCGAAAGTCGCGATTTTTCGAGGGTTCAAGGACAATTAATAAATCAATAAAATTGATCCTCAAGGTGAAATGAACTTCTCGCTTTTTGCACAGGTGAATTTCTTCGTCGGAGCATTTTACGACGGTGTTTACTTGTTAGGGATCGCGCTGAATGAGACTCTGGCCGAAGGTGGCGATATCAGGGACGGCATATCTATAACGAGGCGAATGTGGGACCGAGACTTCATAGGGATTACGGGTCACGTCAGGATAGACGACAACGGAGATCGTGACGCGGATTACAGCATCCTTGATTTAGATCCCATTACCGGAAGGTCACTTGAAATTTATGTATTCCGTTCGACGCGGCTTTAACGTTGGCGGTCGAGAAGCAAATTGCGAATTTATAATGAGCAGACGCCTAGGAAACTAGACATTTTTTTCTAAATTAGATAAAGATATCGTAGTTTATCTTGTTGTATCGAGGATGAGAGTAGTTCTCTTCAACATTAGAGAAAATAAAAGAAATTCTATAAAAATACGATGCGAAAGGAGGATCAATTCAGCCGATCTAAAATATTATTAACATTATATGTTAATAAAATATCACACAAATCGTCAAAGATGAGTTGAAAGATATTGACAGGTGTTTTGCAGGTTCGAAGTGGTCGCTCATTATTTGGGACTAAATCGAGAATACAGTCCTATGACTGGCAAAAAGATCCACTGGCCGGGAGGAAGGGAAGGACCCCCGCCAGATATTCCGGAGTGCGGGTTTTTGGGAAACGATCCGGATTGCACATCGAGGAGAGAAGCTTACACGTTTGTAGCTTACACGGGCATAGCGCTCGCCGTGTTTTTGCTCGCTGCTATTACAGCCGCGTGTCTTTTGTACAGGTATGTACGACGCGATTCGTTAGACCTTACATTTGATCCGAGTTTTGTATAAATACAAACAGTAAGTATGTAAAATAAAAGAAATGAGAGAAAATATTAAAAGCACCGATATAAAGACATGAATATAAAATTGTTTAGTATTTATAATTAATTTGCGAAGAATATAAAATTATACTAATCGACACGTGAAATCTTTTTGCACCAGGCATTTGCGTCTGTCCGCTGATCTCAATAACATGTCCTGGCGCGTAAGACCTGAGGAATTGCTTCTGGAAGTTGGGAAACAGTTCTCGTCGAAGATAAATTTGCACCAAGCGATGTCCGACGCAAATGTGAGCGATAAATTAGGATTACGCACAACGTGCATAGGGAGCGCGACAAGAGATTACTTGATTTGATTTATTATTTAATCGTAGAATTATGGGTTGGAACAGAGGATACGTCGCGGTTCGCAGATCAGTTGCGAATCTCTGCCGCCTACGACAGTCTTTACCACTATCGGGATATACAAGGGCGAGAGGGTAGCCATCAAGAAGATCACGAAGAAGAAAGTGGTCGACGTGACGAAGAAATTGCTCTGGGAAATCAAGCAGGTCAGGGACGTTACGTCGGAGAACACCGTGAGGTATTTACAAATTTTTTCCCCCGTGTTTCATTTCGTAAACAATTAAAGGATGACCGTTCGCAAGATCTCTTCGATAGCATAATGTATTCAGCATCAGCATCAGCGTAACATCGCTGACGCAACTTTAAGCTGCCATTGCAGTTTCTTGTCGTTTATTAATAAATTGAATTGCTCGCTAGATTTATCGGAGCGTGCCTCTGTTCGCCGTCGCCGACTGTTTTAATTCTTACCGAATACTGTCCCCGAGGATCGTTGAAGGATGTTCTTGAGAACGAGGCGATCAAGCTGGATTGGAATTTTCGGATGTCCCTAATCCACGATATCGCCAAGGTAGAGGCAGGTGCAGAAGTTGTGTTTCTCCTACGTTCTTAAATACATTTTCGATACATTTAAACCATTTTTATATAACTTTTTAACTTTATATAACTTAATTATGTCTATAATCGATTAATGTAATATTAATTGGTGTATCGCGCATCTGCAAAGCGTGACGCGAAAACGACAAAGAGATTGCTTCCTCGCAGGGAATGTCTTATCTTCACGCCAGCGAGGTCTCCGCTCACGGAAAATTACGATCGTGTAATTGCCTGATCGACGGTCGCTTCGTATTAAAAATCTCGGACTTCGGCCTCAAAACACTCACCACGCCCTCCGACTTGATTATAGACGAGAGCTATTACACCAGTGAGTTGCATAAAGAGAAAATAAATCGATATATTAAAGGTGGGGCATCAATATGACGTTTCGTCTACATTTTCAAGAATTGCTTTGGATCGCCCCGGAACTCTTGCCATTAACGGTGACACCCGGTAGCGCGGCGACGCAGAAGGGCGACGTTTATAGCTTCGCGATTATTCTTGAGGAGATAGTGGTCCGCGGTGGCCCGTACGAGGTAGCCAGGACCTTTATGACGGCGCAAGAGGTGCGATCCGTTTCATTCCTGTCTTTTTAATTCTAATTTTAGCGCGATTTCTTTATCACTCCGATGTCTTTGCTGCAAAGATCGTAACCAGGGTATCAGCGTCGGAGAATCCCCCCTTGAGGCCGGAAGTCACGCCGAAGGATTGTCCGCCGGACATACTGTCGTTGATGGAAAGGTGCTGGACCGAGGTTCCCGACGAACGGCCTAGCTTCCACGCGATTCGCGGCACGATACGAGGAATCATGAAGTATATTTTTATTTAAAATTTTATAATTAATCATGGCACACAGGCGACTCATTCGCATCACGTCGTGCTTCGATATATATTTTTCATATATTTATATTATATCTTGATATCCTACGACCGAATCGACCATCGCAATAAATACAGAAATTAGATAATAAACGTAAGATATAAATACGCTACAAAAGAATTGCGTCCACGTTTCAGGGGATATTGCGAGAATTTGATGGACGATCTTCTACGGCGGATGGAGCAATACGCCAATAATCTGGAGGCGCTCGTTGAGGAAAAGACCGAGCAGTTGAGCCTAGAGAAGCGTCGCAGCGAGGAACTGCTGTACCAAGTGCTCCCGAGGTATCAGAATCATTCACCGTTCACTTTATTGAGCTCTTCGGCTTTTCGCCCTTTTTTAATAGAGCGAATTTTTTAAAGGCAGGTCGCCGGTCAGCTGATGGCCGGGGAAATGGTGCAACCGGAGCAGTTCGAGTGCGTCACCATCTACTTTAGCGATATTGTCGGTTTCACGGCGCTATGCGCGCAGAGCACGCCTATGGAGGTCGTGGATTTTCTGAATGATTTGTACAGTACCTTTGACAGTATTATCGGATTCTACGACGTTTACAAGGTAGACGTATAAAAAAAAAAAAAAACAAGTAAGCGCGCGTAAATGATTCGTTTCAGGAGAAAGAAGCGCATTTGCGCCAAAGTTGCTCAAACTCTAACGACAGACGCTGGGACGACTTTGAGAAAGGAAATTATCTTGAAATTGAGACTGATTCGCAGGTGGAGACTATAGGAGATGCGTATATGGTAGCGTCTGGTCTTCCGGAGAGAAACGGCGACGAACATGCCAGAGAGATTGGACTGATGGCCCTGGCGATACTGGATGCCGTCAGATCGTTCACCATAATGCACAAGCAAAACACACAACTGAGCGTGCGGATAGGCGTGCACAGCGGTCCGGTTTGCGCCGGGGTGGTGGGTCAAAAGATGCCGCACTATTGTCTCTTCGGCGACACCGTGAACACGGCGTCTCGAATGGAATCTTCCGGTCTTCGTAAGATAAATCCTACATTAGAGCAACAATGACAATTGAAAAAAAAAACTCACAAAAATTCCGAGTCTTAAAAATTGAATTTCTGTCGTTTGAATTTCACAAGATAAAGTAACTAGGATTAAGTAACTAATTATAATTATTTAATTATAATTTATGTCTCGCAGCTTTGAGAATACACGTCTCCGAGGCGACGAAGAATATCTTGGACAAGTTTAGGACGTTCGACCTTGAGCTCAGAGGCGAGGTGGAGTTGAAGGGAAAGGGTAGGGTAACATCTTACTGGTTGACCGGTTGTTCGGAGCCCGACTCCAGGTTGGCCGTGCCGAGGTATCGCAGGCTCAGTAGCAGCCAACCCGAGAACAATTTGAATCCACTAATCTTTCCGCCAAATAACACGAACGGCCCGAAACCAAGTAACAATACCTTCATCAACTTGGCGGAATTATAATGATTAACATTTAGGGTATACGGCAACCTTTTAGGTTGCAACGAGAAGGAATTTCCAATGTGCCACACGCGTCACTTGAGGTATAAAAATGTGCGTAAAAAAATTAGGTATCCATAAAAATTACCGTAGAGGCGCTACTTTTTTTCGGTGCCGTTCTTCGATGTGTAAAAATGACTTAACGCTACGTCAGTATGAATTGGATGTATAATAAAATAGTTTTAGTCTTATATTACAATTACACCTTTTATTCGGAATTTTACATCGATAGCGTCTTATTTATTTAAATAAAGGAAAAACGATAGGCTCTTCGTGGACAAGGGTATGTGTATTAAATTAATATCATCTAAGCGATACTGATCATTTAACTTTACCTTGGAGGGGGTACAAGCACATTGCACAAAATTGGTACGTACATTAATACAATAATTTATCATCTAACAATGATCTACATAAAACTACTCTCTAGTCTTTAGTTTCTTCTTTTTTTCCTTTTAATGTAAAAGTGTTTGATGTAAAAGAGAAATATAAATTCATTCAAACTAATTTTTCCAATACTTATACAGTACTGTGCTTTTTGTGTATGTCACATCGTCTTAATTTTATACATATGTATTTTCAACATGTATTTTTAAAACATTACAATATTAGCATTCTCAGATTCTCCTTCGTTATCGTTATCATTACCATGATCAATATCGCTACTGTAAACGATTATAAATCTCTGTGATCTCTATATTTTTATTTGTCATTATATCTAGAAGGTCTTGTCAATCGATTCCATTTGTGACAAAATCTTGACAATAGATATTATCGTTGTAAGCTACTTAGACGCCAGGAACATTATTAGTCTGCAAACGAAAAATTACACGTTGTACATATAAGTTACACTCATCGTGTATTATATTGTAATAAAGTAACTGCAGTAGAGAGAGAGAGAGAGAGCTCTATCGCGTTCTAAAATCGGTCCTTTACCTAAAACTGATGGCTTTAGCAGCGAGAAGTCTATTACACTCTGCCGTGTCCGGTAGCGGCAATGTAAAATATGGGCTCTCGTTTTCCTGCTCGGTGAACTCGAATCTGTGAATTCTCGGATGGACTTTCATATCGCCAAACGGGCCTTTCAAGATCAAGTAATAAACTGGTAGCGGATAAGTGGTTTTTGTCTTTAGTATCAGCTACGAAACATATATTTTCATACTTAGATCGCAGTGTGTACATCGTACATCGGATTTATATTTCAATAATCTCTTTTACTCTTAGCTCGCGTACATGTGCACGTATATGAATGACATATGTTGCCATACTTAAAGCTCTTTCTGAAATTAGTAAGGACATGCGGTTTTTCGTACTTGGTAAGTTATGTCTCGCTCTGAACTTTGAGTAGGATCGCGTTGATTGCTATTGATCCTGGCCTTCACTACCCACTGATTGTTGAAAGCGCCAAATCGTGAGGTTTCGTAAAATAGTTTATGAATAAACTCGTCAGTACGATACGGCTTCATCTGTAAGTCTACAAATGATAAAAATTTTACAGATAATTGATAAATCCTTCGAGCGTCGTCTGTAGCTATGAAAGGAAGACAAGATACAATAGAAAGACAAGTCAAGAGAGCTAAAGTTAACATCGTGACCCAAAAGAATCATTTATACAATTGTAATCTGTCCGTTGCTGCGAGGAAAAAAAATCATATGGCATACATTTTCTCTCTAGTAATCTATAGATTTTTTTAATATGTCTGCCTAACGTTATAACAATGCTTAACAATTGATACAGACCGTTGAACGTGATTTTCTCGTAGGACAAAAGATCAAAGACATTGTCATAGAGCCTACGTTCTTCCAAGGTGCGGGCATCGATCTCGCGCAGAGCCTCCATCACGTCCGCACCCGTACGATGAGGATGAGCGCAGTGACCCTCGTGTTCCGGGATCTCGTGATTCGGACCTCGCCACGGACAACCGATTCTACTATATTTGCAACTAGATATCCTGTACAAGTAATTAGATATTGGATGAGCACACACATAAATACAAAGTCGTATAACAAGGAGAGCATGGTGGATTGTGAGAAAACTCTAAGGCTTTAAGACATATATTTCTAATCTGCGATGCATATTAAATTTTAGGAAATTTTAGGGACGTTATGTTTGTGTGCACACAAATAATTGCCTTCTACTACTATTTGCGCAGTCCACCTGTAATTACATTGTAAAGAGATCAGTTGCATTAGTTGAGAGATGACAATGAAAAAAAAAACCCCGGACATGTGAGATTATAAGTTTTGCCTTACGGATTTACCTTTCCTCGCACATAGCCTCCTCATGGTGCTCTAAGGAATTTCGCGGGAACTCCTTCGCGCAATATTGACATTCGGCAGGTAACTCAGACACGGCTTTTTCAACTGCCAGATTTCGTGACGCGGTGGTTTTGCTGATTTCGATTCTGCAGTTGGGGCATGTTGCCATCTCGTCCCGCAGCCTGGCATCTGCGAGGACATGAGTGAAGCAACCAGCACACATCAAGTGTCCATTAGCACACTGTGAACATCATTGCAGCATGTATTATTAACGTTCTTGTGTTTTGTTAAATTTTCTTTTTTATTTTTTTACATATATAAGAGAAGGCTAAACACCTAGTTCTCGAACACGTACGTTATACGTTATACGTTTACAAATGAATGAATTATTTAAAATGTATGCAACTCTCTAAATCACAAATTTCAACGACTTTTCGTGAGAAACATAGCCAACGTTATTAATTCAATTATTAACAACAAAGATATTTCTTTTCTGTTTTATCACAACGTTTTGTTACGCAAAGCGTTCGCTCTCCGTTTCGCATTATCCGTTGCGCACTACAGAACCCCCAGAAACCCAAATAGAGAACCAAAAAAATTAATGCCATGTATATTACCATCACTTTGACGTTTAAACCTGAAACACAAAATCGTACGGATACTCATTAATCACAGATATACTTATCGAGATCTGTTTTAAATTAGCACGAGTAGTCTCTAAGGAATTACTTTTAACGGTACCAATATATATATATCGATGATACAGACGGGAAGAAACGAGGATGATGACACGTGGGACAAGTGAAAAGGGGGTGTTTTATGCGAAATAACTAACTAATAACCTTTAAGAATATTTATTTTTATCTTGCACTATACAGTTTGTACAGATCTTTTTTTGTTTTGTTTCTGTTATTCGCTTTCTCTCCCTCACTCTCACTCTCTCGCTGTTGACTATAACTGGGCATCGGTTTCGCATTTAATCTAACAATAGGCCCTAACAAAAGGCCCTTATATTCTCATTGTGCTCCGAATATTGTCCCTGCCACTCGATAGTCTCTTATAGTAAACATAGCGTTTCGTAAGGTTCAAGTATCATTATATATTATACACTAAACAACTACAGAGATCTAGAATCTTAAGTACTTCACTATTTTATCTAAACCGATTTAATAGAGAACACTAAGTGAACACGTGGTCACCGACCCCGTTATATTCCGTGATAGCTATAGAAACAAACATCGTTCTTTATAAATGCGATGGGTTCTGTGTAAAAGAAAAAAGGGGCGGGGGTAGGGTGCGGGGGGACGTTTGTAGAGACTTACAACTGAAAGAATACAATGGATAAGTCTTTGTGTCACAAATGAAAGCGTCTACGTGCGTCTCTGCACAGGAAACTTTACACTATGAGTTTACACACATATTATCCGTTTTAACATTAAGAATAATCAAGATAGGCGCGATACAACCTCACTGGTTACAATAGTTATTATAAATCCCTTTACGCCGTGTATCTCGCGGTATGTCAATACTCTAAAGAAAGGTATATCGAGATGAAAAAAAAAATCAAAAATTAACGGGACCGACGGGATTTCTCTGGGGGAATATCTACAAACGGTTTTACCGTGTAATCCCTCTTGCGATCAACACGTTTCTAAACGAGTATGAATAACTGCATGCATACACACAAGTCCAGAATGCTGCTTCGCACTCTGTCTAAGGTACCTGTTTAGGGATATTCCGAGGTATTCCTTGTATCTCTCCAGTAGTTGAAATTATATGAACACCGCGTTTCATTATTCGCAGTTACAAAACAAAAGGTCAGATAAGTATAAACAACTGCGGAAGTGTTAACAGATGCGCCACGTGGAAAATTCTGCGTGTAACTTTTTATATAGTATCAGGAAAGAGTGTTCTCTCTTTCTTAAATAAAAATCAAACACCTGGTTTCTCAAAGCAAAGATATGCGCATACGCGTCGTTTTACGGTTTTTTAATGTATCAAGTCGATCTGTAATATTGCAAAGGAAAAAACTCTTCTCGTATATCATATATACAAGTTTGCCACACAGAGATCCGCTGATTGGATACACCAGCAGACACATATCGTTTCCTTTAATATAAAGAAAAAAATATAAAGTCACCTACCTGCGGAAAACTTAACATGTCTCGTCTTGTCTCGATAGACAAACTCATTATTCGACCTGTGTATAAAGCTCAGTTTATGAGAGACAGGGGGACTATACGATTATTGTTACCATCATACTTGCTACCATGTATTTCGGCGTATATTTTAAAACATTATCGACACTAGGTAGAGATGAGAAACATAAGGGGGGAGGTCCAGCTTGGTACTGAGATGCGTTACATCACGACTCGTGTCTGCATTGCCATAACAAAATAGAAAAAAAAGTGCAACTATTTGACAGAGATGATTCGTTAGTCACACCTAGATCGCACGAGCTTGAAAGAAAAGGGAAAAGCGAAAGATGGAAACGGAGAGAGAGAGAGAAAGAGAAAGAATTTTTAGTAGAGGGATAAAGTTGAGGAGAAGATGCAAGATGCAGAGAGCCAGAGAGTCCGCTGTGAACAATAAGGAAGCAAAAGCGCGAAATTCCGTTTTTTTTTTTTTTTTATCATAGCGCACAAACTTTCTCCCAGAATTAAAGGCGTAGGTCGTACGTTTCTATACGAGATATCCGCAGCTTTTGATCGACTCGGTCGCACTTCTTCCAACGCGGGATGAATGGGATGCAACCGTTGCAACCTGGTCGACGTTACCGAAAAAGAGAGGCTTCTAGGTAAGCGGTCTTGCGCCTGGCGAGTGTCTCGCGGAAGGTATCCACGACAAACGACCTGGACCACCTGGATTCATACTCGTCTTCGTCAGGGAAGCGAGATTGACGCGCGACCGTCTCGCTTACGCATCTCTAGGCTCTGAAACTCCGAAACGGCCTCCGAACGGAACGGGTCGATGGACCTGGGGTAGGCCATCGCGGGAAGGGGGGAAGGTGGTGGTCGCATGTCGCGATTGTCCGCCGCGTCGCGAATCGCGAATCCCGGGACGATCGTCGAATTTGAGGATACACACGGGCCAGGTTTTTATTTATCTTCCCAATAACGCGAGACCACGAAAGCTCCGGGGTGCTCCGTTACGCCAGGCCTCCCGCGGAGGAGGTGGAGGAGGAGAGGAAGGTGTGAGAGGTAGGAGGAGGGGTAGAGGGGGGGAGCCCGACCTACCTGATAGACGGCCGCGCGAGGCAGATCGAGGCATACTGCGCAGCAGAGGATGCCACCCAGACGGTGCTCAAGTTTCTGCTCGGTTTTCGCGGCGTCCTCGGCGCGCGTCGTCCTGCGCCGCTTCTTGTCGGGCTCGTGGAAGTCCTCGGGCTTGTCGTGCTCCTCGCGCAGCGGGGCCGCGACGGCGGTGGCCGCCGCGGTCGCGGCTACCTGCTCCGCGACGCCGCTCGACGATGCAGGCTCGTTGCTCGGGTCCGCCATGTTGCTTGTTTTGGAGTTTTCCCCTGAACGAACGCGAGAAATGCGCAGATGTAAAGAGACGCCGTTCCTCCACCTCTCCCTCTCCCTCGCGCGTTCTCTCGCTCTCTTTTTCTCTCTTTCTCACTCTCTCCCTCTTTCTCTCTCTCTCTTTCGCCCTGACCTGACGTAATGCAACGCGCGCACTAGTGTCCGGTCCTCTCACACACTCTTTCTCTCTCTCTTTCTCTTCCCCGCCGACCCTTTTTTCCTCACCCTTTCGGAGCGCACTCCGAAACTCCGAACCCGCGCGGCTCGCGGCGCCCGGAACTCTAGTGTGCTCAGCCGGATGCTGACATACCGCCGGAAGCTAACAATTTTTGGAGTAGCCCTAATATAAGTACGAATAACCTCACACATATAAACATACATATACATGTGCGTACATATTTATATGCATATATGCATGTGTATATAGCGTTCAAAATTAATTTAGCAAGTAGTGGATAAAAACCTTCGTCACCCTTCCGTACACTTCCCAACCGTGCTTTCATACGCACGTTCCACGCGATCGCATAATTTTCGTGGAGATGGATACTGCTCCGAACTGCTTCCGAACGAGGTTATGTCACGCGAAACCTCTCCGCGACCAAGGACCTGAAGTTTGACGCACATCCGCAGTATCCGCACATCGCTGTCAGCTGTGTCGTTGATGGGCTGAAAGGACTAAGGAGGAGGGAGGGAGGAACAATCGATTCTCAGGAGTGGAAAATCCTATCCCTTCCATTGAGTTACGTAGTGCGTCTTCAGTCTCGGGTAGCTGATATTACTGAGTACTGACCGGTTCGGTAAATTTGTGGTCGCGTATTTTGCTAATTGTGTATCAGTGTATCCAGATAATTGAGGGCTCAGCCGCTATAATCGAAAATGAGTAAAGCACATCCCCCGGAGCTTAAGAAGTAAAGTATATTTTTCGCAAGCCGGTGCGAGATCTCTCGCTACCGGCGTTGTTTGGTTTCGAGTACATGTCATGTTCATTATGTTATATATCCACTAATACTTCTGTATCCTTTTCAGGTACATGGATAAAAAATTGTCTCGTAAGTAATAGCGCAAGAACGTATTGATAAAGTCGAAGTTGCATCTCCAAGAGAAAGATTAAGCTTGCTCAAGCCTCGCTAAAGAGGTTAAGTTTGATGTGCACACGCAGTCATTAATGCCTATTGCCTATCTGAAACCATCTGCGTTCTGGGAATTGGGATTTCTATACGTTACGTGCACTAGTTGCCATAGAACAGTATCACTCAAAGATTTCTTTCACTTGTGATAAAGAAGTATTTTCTAAAAATGTTCATAGAATTAACTTCAACTTTGTTTCTGTAATATAAAGTTTTCCTAAGAAGACTAACCATAGATATAAGCAATTTACATTAAAACAGTTTTGTAAATTATTATTTTTCACAAGATATGCACTTTAGTATACATGTGGAAAGCGATATAACCATCGTTATGCGTTTCTATATAACCATCTTGTTCTTAACCCTGATTTCACTTAAACTATCTTGTAGTAAAACTGAACGGTGGTCGACGTGTTGTCGGGATATTGAGAGGCTTTGATCCGTTCATGAACATGGTCATAGATGAAAGCGAAGAGAAATGCAAGGATGGTACTACAAACAATATCGGCATGGTGGTAAGTTTTGTGATGGCTTTATACTTACTTTTATGAAAGCAGATTATGCGAATAAAGCTGTGGTCCACTTATCAATGCAAATGCTTCAAAACATTCCTCCTCCTTTTTCTTTTAGCGAAGAAAGAAGGAGCAGAAGAACGCTTCAAATCATTTGTAGTATTAAATGGACTGCAGCTTATTCGTAATATTATCAATATTCATTAATATAAATTGTATGTTTCTAGGTAATTCGTGGCAACAGCGTCATAATGTTAGAAGCTTTAGATCGAATATAATGTATGCTGCCGTAGAACTTTATCCGTATCTAATATGTATATTTTTAAATAAATAATCGAAACCTTTTTTAAGATATAATCAAGATGTTTAGCCTGAGCTTTTGATAAATAGTTTAGATTATTTTAATTCTTTTGTGTATTATAAATGACTTCTTCGATGGCACTACACCCCGAATTAAACTTTGACCTGGAGATAAACCGTCCCTATATGAATCTTTGCTCTCTTCTAATTTTATTGTAGTTGCCATTTTTATGAAAAGGGATTGCCCTATTGTGTTGAGACATACAATACACTTTATTTATCTCCGGTTATTTTGGGATCAAGTTCACGTTTTGAATACTTTATTTCTATATAGTGTAATATTTTCCTAACCGAAATTCTTAGTGTCATACATGATGTAAAAAGACCATTGTGTCATATATATATATATATATATATATATATATATATATATGTATATGTGGGATGCTAATTCTGGGAATCAAATTTTTTTTTGTTTGACAAGACTATTCTAGCAAGCTATGGGGAATTACCCAGGATCCCTATTATAAATGACTATTGGAGGAAAAATTATTTACAAACACGAATGGTTTATTAACAAATTTTTATTACAAACATAGGAGCGAAGATACAAGAATTGTAATACTGCATTTTATTATCATACTCGTCAGTACATTGAGAAAATAAATAAGCTTATTTTACTGAACATAATGCAATTACAGACTAAAGTAACCATGATATCATCACAAATAGTTAACTAATTTAATCCCTCACGAAATGTAAAATATTTTTTCGTAGTCGTCATCAACGCCCGGTTCATTCTATATTTTCATTATTTTGACTGCTTTCTTTATATTTATTGTAAGCTTTACTTTTTTGTAAAATATTCTATTTGAATAAGATGAATATCAATCTTCAAAGTACCAAGGCACAAAAAAAATTATGTATCAGAGCAGATAACATTGTTGCATAATTTCATACATCGTTTTGTGATAATAAAAACACTGGATTCATAATTATATAGCATAATCTTTAATACACACGTCCTTATATTAAAATACATAAATTCAGTACATGTTTGCTTAGTAGAGATTTATTCAAACTACCGACATTAAAACGTGTGTATCAAGCAATATCTATATTCACAGCGCGAATGTACATCTAAAGAATTGATATCAGAGAAAAATCTAGGAAACAAATATGAAACATGCTTAAACAGATTTTATTTCTGCAAACGGTCATCTACAAGCTTATAAAAAAATAAGCATGACTATATTAGAAAAAATTTCTGGTTTACAAGGCACTCAATATTATTTCATTGATTCAGGAACATCATTTATTCTCAACAAGTGATAGATGTGATATCTCGTAATAAAATATCTTATGACAATCGTATGATAATAATACCATCCTTTTATATTTTAGCAACAAGACAGAGCACAGCGAATATTGAATAGTGAATATTTTACGATGTATGCATAACGTACAAACTTAAATTTATTATTTAAAATATTTCATAATTTCATGTTATTTGTACTGTTCTGCTCTTATAATAAATTGTATAAAATAACAAAAAATTCCACTGAATACCATATGTTCAATAAATCTTAAAGAATAACTGTCATTTTCTTATTTTTGAATATTTTACGAATATGGCGCATCAAAAAGAATGGTACATTTAGTTTTTAAAGAGAAACATTGTTTTTAAGGAAAAAAAGCAATAAAGTAGTACGAATATTATGCATGAAACTATATCACAAATGTAAATGTAGCTTGTGCTATCTTGTATATGTCTTTTTAATGAAAACTAAAATGTAAAAACAAAAAGTATTTTCATACTCTGTTAATTATAATTCACTAATTTATAACTGAAAGAAATGGCTCTTCATACGGTATGTAGCGACAGTTTTTAATCTGTGCTGACATTTAAGGCTATTTCAGAATAAAGTCGCTCTTATACATTTTATATTAGACTAACATATTTCTTACGTACATAAACATTATTCCGTGTATCAATATATACGTGTCAATATGTAACATCGCAGCAGTCGTTATATTATTTCTATTTTTCTATTGGGTGTTTTAATACGTCAACAAATTTATGATTTTGTATTTTTTTTTTGCAAAAACAAATCCTTTAAAAAGATCTTTGAAGTTACAAATTACAGAATAAAGTTTTTAACTATGTATAATTTAATTGTTATAATTATAAAACAGATCAAATAAAGATTAAAGTAATAGTTTCAAAAAAAAGTATAAAGACAAATATAGAACAAATATAATTATAAATCGTATAGAAAAAAAACTTCGTGGGAAAAATGTATCACAGTTAAATGCAATCTTACTGGGATAAGATTAATTACATAAGTTGTTATGTTAAATCAAAAGTTACAATATATGAATGCGTAAAGGTACGTTTTCGTTAACGCTCGATCGACTCGGCGCTCGCATTTTCAGCGAGCAAAAATCTTTAGAAATAATTTTTATTTTGTATATATCCGTAAAATATTACTACTTGAAGATATACTTAAAAATAAATAAAAATTTATCTATATGAATATATATATATATATATATATGATCTATATATATGATCATATAGATATATATATCATATATATATCTATATGAATAAAAAATATTATTTCTGAAGATCTTTGTGCTCGCTGAAAATGAGTGTCGAGCATCAACATAAAATTGCACCTTAACGCTTTATATATTACATTTCATATTTTTTAAAATTTTTCGAAATGCTGACTGTCATATAGTGTAAAAAATGTTAAAAAATTTACGGATAAAAGTATTTTACTGTCTTCAAAGAAAATTTCATTATCTCGAATACTCTAAAAATTTCGATAATTGCATTATTTACTATCTATTAGTATTTTTTTATTTTATAAGCGTTTTTATCATTTAATATAATTTGATTTTGTATTAACCTTTACTAAAAATAATTTTTTGTAATTTCCTTTTGTGTCAAATAAATTTTCTTTTATAATTGTAAATAATGTTCAAAAAGTACATATATAAATGTACATATGTATATATATAATTTATATTTTGTATCTAATACAGGAATGTAAAGAAAAATTATTTTCGTAAATGTAACTGATTGGATTGCAACGCGATCGATATATTAATAACCTTATTAAAATAATTTCATTAAATAATTTCATTAAATTAGCGTGTAAAAATAGAATTTGAAATGTTGCATTTTGCGAAAAGAATATGAGCAGTTCAGATTCACACACGGATTCACATCGCGGTTTTTATTTACAAAGTAATTGAAAGTGTGACCGTGTAAATCAAGAATAATTTGCATCGATGAGATTCACATACATACATACTTCGTATTATTAGGCTGCACAACGAGATAACTGCTCGGATGCTCTTCTTCATGTATTTACCTTCTCCCATACAAATTCTTTTTAACAAACTATATTTGGCAAAATATTTTTGTATGTCAAAACTAAAATATATTGCACGCTTCATCTTGATGTAATAGCAGATTCTTGCTCGAAATTTTCAGGTTCGACAATTTTTTTCATGGAAACGAAGTTAAATCCTTTTGTCTTTGCATTGCCACCTATGTTAAGCGTTAATAGTTCTTTATTGTTGTGCTTTTCGACGCGTTTATTCTGACTATTGATTATTCTTTTTACTTTCCTTTTGTATGTTTTATGACTTAACTTACGGTTTATTTTATCTTCCGAAAGTTCTTCTGAAAGCTTTCTTTGCTTTTTCGATTGGACGTCTGCTTTATTACGACTGCATATCGTATGTGTTTGGACGTGGCTTTTGAAAGTAGCAAGTGACGTGCTAGTATAATTGCATTTGTCGCATGCAAGCTCCTTCTGACTGGTGTGTTGATTAATTATGTGTTTTTTCATGTCATAATTATTGCTGAAGGATTCGTCACAAAAGTTACAGAAGAAAAGTTTCTCGCCTCTGTGTTTTGCGATATGCATCTTGAAATACCAATCAGTAGTGATATTTTTGGAGCAGTAGACGCAGAAGAAACTCTTTTTCGCTTTCATCGACTTCGGTGTTTTACGCACTTTTGATATTGGATTGCGCATCAGTAATTTCGAAGCATTTACTTGCTTCGTAGAAGTAACAGGAGTAATATCGGCGGCTGCACTAGCAGGTTGAATGGACGGTGATTTCGGAATGGCTACCGGTGCAAGATTTTCTGTAACGATGCAGAACTTAGGAATACCCTGCGTACGATGTAGCAACGACGGCGGACTTATCAAGTTGGCTATAGGTACCACGCGTATCGGTGCGAGAAACGTTTTAGGCTGAGCTGCCGTGGTCGTTAAAATGTGCGATGGTGATATAATCAAATTGTTTATCGTTATAGGCTGACCAGTAGTAGCTTGAGGTGAAACTGTGAGGCGAATATATTGTTTACGCGGAGATTCAACCGGAGCAGGTGTAGAAGTGGTACGAGTGGGAGCCGTAGTCGAAGTTACAGTTGAAACTGGAGCCGGACTTGGAGCTAGAGCTAGAGCTAGAGTTGGAACTGAAGTTGAAGCTGGATCTGAAGCTGGAACTGAAGCTGGAGCTGGAGCTAAATTTGGAGCTAAAGCTAGAGTTAAAGTTGAAACTGGAGCTGAAGCCGAAGGTGGAGTTGAAGCTGGACCTAGAGCTAGAGTTAGAGTTGGAACTGCAGCTGAAGTTGAAGCTGGCGTTGAAACTTGAGTTTGAACTGGAGCCAGAGTCGGAACTGAAGTAGATTTCAAGTGGGAATTTTGTTGTAAATTTCGAAATCTTACTTGACTTATCGATTTTACTTTGCTTTCTGAATGCAACGTGTTGCCGGAAATCACGGTGTTCTGCGATGAAACCATGAGAGGCACACTTCCAAAGATATTCGTGGCTTTAGTTATTTGCGAATTAATTTTGATAGGTTGAGCGGTAATCAAATTAGAACTGGTCAATTGAGTGCTAGATACCGAAGTCGTGATGACAATCGGTTGACTAGATACTTTTTGCGGAATAATGATCAACTCCTCGTTTCTTCGCAGCGTCTCTATCGTTGTGGCGAGATCCGAGTAATTGTGTTTCTTCATTCTCGCAATTTCCAAGATCTGCAATTCTCGCATGCGCATCCGTTCCTTCTGTAAATGCGATCTGTCCACGTTGTTATGAACGTACTCTTTCTTTCTCGTGCAATTCCTGTGATATATCCGAGATATCCATTTCTTATCCTTATTTCTTATTTCTCTAAGTTTTATTCCACAAATATCGCACATGTATGATTTGTCGCACCTGTGTAATTTTATCAATGCCCGGCGACAGCGATTATGATCGATACTTAATGCATCACAATTCTCATTTTTACAGTGTTTTTCAACCGGCGCGTTTATCTCGTCTTCCTCTATGCTCAATGCTAACATAGGTGACATACCATCTTTATCCACATACTGCTGTAGCGTCACGTCGCAAACGATATTTTCGCACGGCTCATAATGACCACATGATTTCTTTTTAATGGGTAACAGAGCGATTTCCGATTTCTTGTGCTCTATTTTTGAAGGTAGAAGATTGTCGTCTTCCTTTTCCTCGTCTGCTGTCCTGACAGGGAATATCGATATTTCGGATGGTCTTGTACAGTTTGACGTTGTATTCATACCATTCCTCTTGTGCCAAAACATATTATTGTCAGACTCGGCCAATGGTTTTGAAGAAATTGTCTGAATGACAAGGTTCGGTTGATTAAAAAGCCGTTTCACTGAGTCTGATTGCAACACCTGCAAACAATGAAACCCATGTGATTCTCAATTAGTGTGGTAAAGTGATGTTAAATTGTGTAACACATATATATGCGCGCACACACACACACACACCCATCCATACATGCATACAATAATTAACTGATTGTTTTTTGCTGCAAGAATTATCATTTAATGTAGCAGTCATACAATTTTTTCTTTTTTTTGCTCAACAACCACAGTGAATACAACTTACTTCAGACAAGGTAGGTTTTATCACATTATTCGGGCATATGTTGGACATTGTGTCTATGGATACGAGCCTGGAGGAAGTGGAGAGTGGTGCATATGCCATTTTTACCATGTCAACAAGTACGAGCGGTCAATGTAGGATTTTCTGTAATTGAAAAAGATTCGGTCTGCAAACGCGGCTACGGCTCGCAATCAAAAGGGCGAATTTTCGAGATTGTCGGCGGGCTTAGACCGCGTCGAAAGACGCGGTCACGCAAACACAACACGAGGCGGATAAATCGGGGTCGACTCGGTCGGGAGGGCAGAAAGTACAGTTTCTAGGTTAGTCAATTAATTTGAACAATCAAATCTCGAGATTTTTTGGTCGACTCCCGTACTCATCGCCTTCGGAGTTTTTGCGAGCCCGCCCCTTTCCTCCCGTACCTTCCTGAGAGGTTACTTACGAAACAGAGACTTGTCACGACCGATTCAAAGTCAGCGTCATGATCTGCGGCTTCTAACAACGTACACAGCGGCGATTCGCTAGTCAAAGCGCTGCACCCGTTTCCCTTTTCTTTTCTCTCTCCAGTCTCCCCCCAAAAACCAATTTTTTTTCTCACAGAAACGGGCGCGCGCGCGCGAGCGCGTTACGGCCGCGCGAGGCGGACGGAGCGCGCGGGATACGACTTCCCTCCGTTCGGAGAGTGTAGCATCCGCCGCGTGATCCCGGATCTCATCCGGGCGTTCGCGACCTCGCAGCCGACGGCGAGGTTGCGGCTGGTTGCGGTCGAGAGACGCGCATATGCCGCTCGTGAATTCTAGCGAAGAGTCGAAGAGGTGGCCGCCGCGCCTGCGTCGTAGCGTAGCGGGGCGAACGGCCTCGCTTTTTTTCACCTTTCGTTCATCTTTTCGTCACGCGGACAGATCCACGCACGACCCGAACTGTTACGTCAAATTGCGTTATTACTTCACGCGTCATTGCCTTTATGTTGCGTCGTGACGTCATTTTGTTGCGTCTCGCTACGTGGATATATGCAATATGCGCGCTCGCGCGCGCGCTTTTATAAGATTCTTGCTCGCGACAAGTTTGAGAAATTAAAAATGATAGAATTCTCTTTTTCCCTTTCTCGGAAGCAACAGATTTAGGTCCGAAAACGCAGTAGATGAATTTCGAAGCTTCGGTCTTCTTGGTCTTGCCCCCGGATAGCCAAATCTGTCAAGAACAGATTTTTTAAGTACCTGATGCTGCAAATGTCGATAGAATGTCAGCAGAAATGTAATAGAATCTATTAATAGAACATAATGGCATACCGCAGAGACTGAACAAAATCTGTCATTTCGTAATCATTAAAGTGTGATGTATTCCGTTTATAAAACGACAAATTCTCTGTTCGATTTGTGCTGTCAGAATTGCTGGCAAAACACAAATTCAATCTGTTTCGTTTTTACTATACTGCAGTTTGCGTATATTGGTATTTACGATGCTCCGTTATTCATGCAGTCGTAAACGTTTGATACAAATTCTGTCGGCAGAATGCCGATAGAAACGTGACAGAATCTAAATAACATCACAGATTGATTGCAGAAACAAAGAAATGAAGAAATGTACAGAACAGGAAGCGACTTATTGTTAGTAAATTAATAAACGTTAACAGTATATATGCTCTAACAGTTCGTTAACAAATTTGAGCGGAATATTGCAGATTGACATCGATTGCGTTAAGTTTATGCCGGAATCTGTCGCTTCGTATAGCCATTTGTGAATAATGTATTTTTAATTTTATTTTTAAATAGTTACAAAATGATAGATTCTGCTTGATTTCTGCTAGTAATTTACTGTCACATTATAAAGACGGGCTCTGTGGCCAGAAAACGCACGGCAGCCTAATGCAATTGATGTCAATTTGTTGCAACATTCTGCTCAAGTCAATCAGTCAATTTTGCTAGCATACCGCTAACAGCTTGCTTTTACTGAATCGCTTCTGCCCTATACATTTCTTCATTAGCATTACTTAAGCCTCTCAGAAGTCGAACCGATTGACTCCACCTTTGTAAATTTCTTCATTATAATGCCAGAGCACGTGATTAATTTACAACTTCATCAAATTTCCTTACTTTCACAAAGTTCATCAGTTTGACTTCCGAGAGGCTCATTTATATCTCGCCAGATCCTGCAAAGGTGCTTAGTTCTTAGAAGTTACGAGACGTTAGTCTTCTTTAAGGAAAACGTCGAGTTTAGAAATCGATCGAGGAGTATATATTACGTAAAAGACGAGGCGGTCTGTATGCTACGGTTAACGCTTAAGAATTAAAATTTAATCATTCCATACCTTGCATTATATAATTTACTGTACTCGCGTCCAAAGTTGATCTGGTTATATATGTATATTTTTCCTTGCGAGCCGATTTAATTATATTATAATTTCTGCCACAATGCAGAAATGTAGAGGATGATGGTTCAGGAAAGTGTTTAGTTGGAATAAAGACTTTATTGTAACATCGTTATGGGTTTTAATGTACACAATTATCGTAAACCGACGGCTAGGTAATTAATTATTGTAGTACTTATCTCAGCAGTGTCGATAGGATGCTACTTATCTTTGGTACCGAATGTACAGTATGTATTGCAATGAAGCCTTTGTTCTTGTTATTTTTGCTAATCGGTGTAAGACGAAGTGTTGTATTACGACCTCGATTGCGCGTTGCGCGTTGTACTTTCGAGCCAATTAATCGAATATTTGTATTATACAGTCGCAATTGGTGCAATCACTCGTTGCATTGCTATTCAATATTTGGTTTCTTTTCAACACATTTTAGTGATATTTATAACGCTTCTTTTACTTTTCTTCTTGTTTTTTTGAAAGAATACTCTTAGGGATAATACTTATTCATTAATAACGAGCCAGGGGTTGCTGAAGCAAGCCTCTTCCCGTACGCCGTACGCTAAAAACGAACGTCTGATTGTCCTCGTATCAAAAAGCAACGCACATAACGTCTCGCGCGTAAAGAAACAAGCGGAAAAAGCAACGCACAGTAAATGGTCAAAAAGCTTTATTGAACCTCTTTATTGAAACTCTGTGGTGGGATGATTTCTGGACGCTCCGCATGTAGGAACTATTACAAACTGGATAACGCTACGAATCAAAGTGTCGATTCGTACAAGGAAATTCGCTGCGCGGAAGGGAACAAAAAGAGGACAGTAAATGCACGAACGCAGTTCGACCGACAGCCCTTACTAGTTCAATAAAACCTTTCCTCAATTTCACGCTTAACGATAGACTCGATCGACGTTCAAAAAGCTGCTCTCGCTCTTTCTCGCGAACATACGTATAATATAAACGCGTGTAGGGGTAACTTACGAACGTAACTTACTCTCGGCGCGAAGGTACATCGTACAAAACTTCACTTTAACTCTAAATGCCTATATCTTACGAACATATTTACACGGGTATCAGTCAAATAAATAGTTTTAGTCTTTGCGTCTAGAGCGGCCCTAGACGAAGCAAGCCTCTGTTACTGATTTACGCAAAAGGATAATGAGAAACTAAATAGATTGCGTGACGCTGCGCGACCGAGGCCAAAAATATATTTTAGCGGTTTCTTGCCTACCTTGCCGGCGACGGGATATCACCTTAATTCGATTCGCAGTGTTGTGTTATTAGCGTGTGCTAACATCTCTAGACTCTCCTAACTAATAGCATTTCCATTTTGATTCCCACGGGATTCTCGAAGGTACACAATCTTGCATCTTGATCTCTCATAACATTTAATCTTTAGAAAAAAAGGGACCCTGCTCTCCCCCTTTGTTAACGGAGCTACGTCGGATATGACTGCGATTTCCGATGGCTTTTTAAAAAACTTAACGGCGCATTTTTTCAGTATGATTTATGTAGTATGATATAAAATAATTTGGTCGCGTCTAAAATCTGCTAGCCGTAACAATTTGGCGTAATAGTGTTTTCTGTGCAATATTTCTTTATGCATATACATATATCACAGAGGTCAATTAATTCCATACACGCTCCTTTCAGTTTCAAGCGATGGTTTCGAAAATAACTGTCGCTTACCTCGCAGTATCGCTTATAAAACGCTTAAGTTAAATATTACGGTAATTATTGGCTTACATAGGTACGCCTGAACGTCGGCAATGGATAGTCTCTACAAAAAATATGAGAATTTTCAAGTGTGGGCACTATTTACAAGTTTTCAATATCGCCTTTCTCTTATGCGGCCGCACACCTATCTTAATATTTCCGACAAGAAATATATTGTAAAATTAGCATTTTATGAATCTTAGAGGAAAAGACTCGATCCTTGTACTATTTTTTTTAAACTTCCGTTTAAGAGTTCTTAAATAAGAAGTTACAGAGATATATCGCCCTCGCGTGTTATTTACTCGTTTATACTCGTGCATGCTCACGATGTACTCGTTTACCATGGACGCGTATATCTGTTTACAATCGAGAACGATTCAATGTGACGGACTAGAATGTTTCAAGTATAGATTTCTCTGGCAGCCATCTCTAACGCTTTTCCGATCCTTTTGTCGAGCATGTTCGAGCATCAGGAAGGTCGGACTACCAGACTTTTTCGGATAATTGTTCATTTTCTCACTCCGCCGCCACCGACTTCTGTTCGTGCCATCAGTTTTTTACTATTCGCACTCGGCATAGTCCTCGCAACACCAGAATTGTTCTTGTTGGCTTCGAACTTTTGCTGGAGCGACGCCACGTTGGATTTACCGCTCGCCACTCTTTGTAGCGGATTCGTCCTCGCCGTTGCACCTCCGTCCCCGTTTTTGGTTTCCGTTTTAGTCGACACCTTCGGCGTCAGCGACGGTTTGGTAGCAGCGTTGCTCGCCTCCTTGGCGGACGGTGATAGCGATTTAGTCACGCTTGCGTTGCCAGTCGGAGACTTCTTCCTCTCCGAAAGACTGGCTGTTTTGGATGTAATGTTGAGTGGTTTCAATGGCGTTGTGGGTGTCTTCTGGCCACCCCTCGGCAACGTGGGTGTCTTCTGAACGGTCTTCAGCGGGAGACTGAACCTGGGATTGCTGCCTACAACATCTGGTGACTTCGTTCCGCCCTGATTCGAGTTCGAGCAGCTCGAGACCAGGTCCGGGCTATTGAACTTTCCCGGATTATCCTTAGGACTACAAGGCACATTTTTGACAGATACGGTTGTGTGTGACTCTTCTTTATCTAAGTCGCTACTCGACTTCCTTGCGTTCAGTTGCGTTTGTCTCGCGGTTGGACTTGTATCCGAGCTCTGTTTCGCCGTTGTCGAATTCGTGTCGGGAGCTTTCGAGGATTTCAGGGATTTTAACATATTATCTGAACTTTGTCTCGCGAGTTTTACGCTCGTCTCGGACGTATCTTTGGAGGTCGGGCTCTTCGCAATGTTCGGAGGCGTTTTAGTTCTATTTAACGGCGGCTTAGCTGGAATCTTGCTGTCTGTTTGGTCGTCTTTCTTGATATGTATCAAATGAGACGGTCGAGTTTTTGTTGAAGTGAACGGTTTGTATCCTATAGAATTCTCAGGCGGCTTCATGCCGAGCTCCTTGGACAGCTCGTCATTTATGTTAGGATTATTAGACTTGAGGGTGCTCAGATTACTTTTATCGACCGGCTTCAAATTATCGTTCGCGTCCGAAATATTTTTGCTCGGCTCTTTTCTCTCCACTTGCGGAATGTTTATCACAGATGGATGAAGGTAACCGGAGCTAGTAGTGGAGCTCGAAGAATTAAATTTGCCGGAAGTCGAGTTTGAATAAATACTACCGGGTATCTTGTAGTGGCTCGAATTCCCAGCATTCATGTAGCCACCTAGAGAGTTGTTGGAGCCCATACTTTCTAAATTTTTCGTCGCGTCTTCCCCGTTATCCTCTTTCTTCTTTCTGGTTAACGTCGAGGTGGAATATATGGAGTCGAAATTACGATTCGATATTTCCGATACGATCTCCGATAGCAAGCCCATCGACTCCAGGCCATTCGGACCACCGGACATCGCATCGATGCGTTTCGGTAGTTTATACTCGTTATCAGCCGGCGTTACATCCAATTCCGCGTTTTTTCTGTTCTTCTCCGGCACGGGTTCTTCTATTACCGCGTAGATATTATCGTTCGTGGGCGATTCCTCCGTGATCTTCGTCAGGGATGATTCTGCGATCAAATTCATGCAGTCGTCATAGGTGTTCTCCAGTGGCTTCTGAATGGTTTTCACCGGCGGATTCTGATACCCTGGTAGTCCTGGAATCTTTATCGCGCTCTCGGCGGCCTTCTCCGTCTGCGCGATATTCGGCGGACCCGGAGGTGGCGACGTGGGCCTCGTGCTGGCGGGGATACTGGTGGGTCTCTTGACGGGCGTCGTCTGACGCATCGAACCAAACGTATGGACCATTGGTCTCGACGTAACTTTGCTGTCTCTCATCGATTGAGCGCGCAGGACCACGTTTCTTTTTTCATCCTCAGTCGCTGGTACCACCGGGATGACCGGTGTCGGGATCTCGATCTCCGTCTGTGGTATCGGATTGGAGATCTCGAGGTTCCTCAGGATCTCCTTATCGATGACCTTGTTAGCCTTGTGATGCTGGTTTCTCGGTAGAGAATTCGTGTTTTTGTCATCCCTCTGTGAACTCTGGGAGTTGCTTCTCATGATACCGGAGCCAGGGCGCAACATCGACGCGATACGATTGAGTGTGCTGCCCTTTTCCGACTTCTTCTCGGGTTCCGGCAGAATCACGTTTGTCAAGGGCGTGCTGTTGGGTCTCTGCGGCTTCGCAGCAGGCACAGAAGTGGTCGGCGGTGGCGGGGCTGGACGCATTCGAGGCACGTCCGGGGCAGATCTGGTGGGTACCTTGGTTACCAATTCGACGGACGTGCAGGTTGTGGCCGCCAGTACGGGACTACTGATCAACGGTCGTGCCGTAGAACCAGGATTCAGCGGCGGCAACGCCGGTGCGGTCGAGCTTGGATCGTTAGAACTCAACAGATTGTTCCTTTGCGGGACATTGCACTTTTGCATGTTCGGCTTAACTACGTTTGTCTTTATCGCCACGGTAGGCATCCATCCGGGCGGAGGTGGAGCCGGTTTCGTCGGCTCGGCCAATTTGGACTGATTCGAGTGGATCGGCGTGATCGTAAAGCCCTTAAACTGGCCAAACATGTTGTTGTTGTAGCGCTCGTCGGTCTCTGCCTTAGGCAGTAAACTCACGCACGCGGGATCCTGACTCAGACTAGAATCGATCGTTTCGATGTTACGGGACATGGGACTGGAACGATCGATCGTTTTGATTAGCAATCCATTGTGGCCGCGATCGGTCCTGAAATTTGAAGCAGAATTATAAGCGGAGGGATCGAGGAATTTGTAAGCGCGCAACTACGATATACAGCTAATACTGATTCGTAACGAATCAACAAAGTTAACTAAGGATCTTTTTTTATTTAGTGTAAGTTAGAACGTAAGCATTGTGCAGGTCTCGATAAGGAAATGTGTTCGTATATCGAAATATTAAAATAATCTAGGTAAATAAGAAATAACGTAAATTTTAGGTTTTTTACTACATACTACAGTTTAGTTGTATGTATGCTCCAACACATGCGCGTATTTAACAACATTCGAAAAATAATCACGTACAAGCATTTTTTTCAAATAAGTAGCTGTTCATCGCAAGTCCAAACACATGCACAGGCAAGAAAATTGCCGGGAAATATTAGTTTTAGATTAAGATATTAGTAGCAAGCGTTGGAAAAGAAGGAAATCGTTGATTACAAAGGAAGACTAAAAACACCTTATATCAATACTATATTTATTCAATAATAAAATTGTACATGTTTATTTTTTTTTTAAGTATGAGTAACATTATCGGATATCTGAATTTCATATCCAAGGAATGAGTAAAGAATTCAAAGAATTCGTTTTTTATCATTAAAATTAAGTACTTCTTAATTATTAATATAATGAAAAATGGTCATTAAAACTGAATGTCCAATGTAATGTCTAATTTAAGTTGTCGATTTTCATAAAATGCAAAGAACCAGTAAGAAAAGAATCTTCATTCATGCTCATGCTCACATAACATGTTTCTGCACATGCTCTATACGTTATAAATAATCTCTTCAACAATCTCCGCCGTCATATGGCGCAATATGTCCATATAAAATTTACAGTTTCTATAGTTCCTAAAAATTTGGGCATAAAAATTTGAACAGTATTTTGTTCTGAAAATTTAATTAGTCTTATTTAACATTGGTTACATAATGTGTATGCAGTGACAGATTAACAACTTGAAAATTGTGAACAAAGAAGCCATAGATATATTAATAAAGAAAATATTTTTTATTATATAAAATTTTCGCATTGCAAGCATATACATATATTAAAATTGTGATGTAGAATGCTGTGCATAAAAGTTGCTTTCATTTACGTAACTTTTATTCTTTTTTTGTGCATAATTAATATGTAATTAGTAAAATAAAGCTCTAAATTAAATAGTGTAAGTTTGCGTACAAGCACACAAGTCGCTAAGAACAAAATGCTGTTCATCGTAGTCACATTCTTATACTTTTTAACTTTATAATATAATCACTCAATTCATATTGCACCAAAGATTTATTTAATATGAACTAAATAAAAAATGTGTACACATTAATACACGTAAAATCCTACATTTTATTATTGCTTATTTCATAAAAAAATCTGTTTGGGACAGATTTGATCACATGATGATAAACAGTATAAACATGATAAATTTAATATCATTTAGATGCTTAGCTACTAATCTAATATTTTTCAATTTGTGTAAAAATATTAATATGATTTGAACTATAACAATATATTGGAGCATTATTACGACTATTAGCAGTTGCAATCACAGTAGGAATTACTTTAATGCATTTTGGCATCCAGTAATGTCCAAATATTGCTTTTATGTAAACCACCACCGCGTTTTCAAGTCCCCATATTATAATGCAAAAATCATAGCTGGCAAAAAAAAATGCACTATGATGTTCGCACTAGCCCGAATAAAATTGTTCTTAAATATATCTATTTCATATTTATTATTTAAGAAATATATTTAAAATAATATCAAAATTTCTTTTAAATTAGCAGAAATTCCATATTGAGAGAGACAAAGTAAATATCTTTACTTTGACTTTTGAAAATAACGTGCTTTAATCGAAATGATTCTTTTCAAATCTATCGTATGTAAAGATAAGTTCTATTATTGTTTATATTCTAAAACATAGATTCAAAATTTATAAGTATCGCGATCCAATGCATAAATAGTAAATTTCTCTAATAATACGTAATAAATTTTTACGTAAAATATTTGCACGTAATGAGATTCATACAAACAGATAAGAAATCGCTTAGATCTTTGGTTTTAAGTTTTGAGCAGGTGCCGGTGGGGGCGGCGGTTTTTTATTGTAAAATGGAGCAGGCTCCTTCGAATTATTAAATAATACATCTGGCGTAACGTCAGACGTACTGGCTGGGCTTTCATTCAAGTGCTCGAACTTCAATTCGGTGTTGAGCGTAAGTCCTTTATCGTTCTTAGACGATCTTTTCTGAATCTGCTGAATGCGCTCCGATATTTTGGAGCTTAATTCCGATCTAAGTGGAATGATTTTTTTCGATTGGACTTCAGCGGCGGGTACCGATAAATTCTTATTATAAACCTCATGCATTTGGGGCTTTGCGCTAACATCCGGCTTTACGTTGCTGAACAGCAATGACTTTCTGTATTCGATATTATTACTACTCTTAATAGCATCCGGATTGGTGGTAGATATTAGATCAGCCTTAGTTATCTGAAGCGGCTCTTTGACATCGTCACTAATCGTGAATACTTTATTATTCGCGTTACGAGAGGTATTCTTTTTGTTCGGTACGAAATAGGCGGAGATCATTATTCGCAATCTGAAGAATTTACTACCGGCGATGTATTGTGTCTTTACCGGCGATGTAGGAACACGTAGTGACTTATTGGCATGCGGTTTCTTTTTAAAACGGTCGAGACTAGATACGTACGTAGACATCACATCCTTCTTCCAATGCTGTCCGGAATTTCTGACGTACCAGACGCCGAATAGGAGCAGAGCTGTGGCGGGCACCACTCCCAGAAAGATAACGTAAAGCGCAGTTATGAAATCGTTTCTCGCTTAAAACACACAAAATGAACATTATATAGCATAATTGACATTGATAAAATATACACTTAAGTTAACATGTCTCATTAAAACATCTCTTCAGTTTATTTATCAAAAATTACTTCTGCTTCTTATCAATTAATAAACTAGACATAAAATAAAGTAGTTACCGTTGGGATCATCGGCTGGACCACTATCTTCGGAACCACCAACTCCAGGCTGAAGGCAGTCAGGTGGTCGAAAACCACGATTACAATGGCAATGACCAAGACTATTACACACTCCGTTACCATTGCAATTATTAGGACAATTTTTACCGCCAGAAACGGACGCTCTCAGATCCGCCACTGACATACATCTCTGATTTACGCACATCTAGATGATATAAGTAAATTACAATTATTCAAACTGTCCCAATTGTTATATACTATATATAAATTATCGTTTTATAAATACAAATATTCTATTGTAATCTTAAAATAAAAAAAATCTGAAATTATTACATAGTTTTATTATCGTTTAATTATAATCATAACATAGATTGACACGAAGTTTAAGAAATCTACTGGTACTGCAGAGTTTCATCATTTCAGTTCAATTATCATTTTATCATTTTATTTTTATCTCTCTCTTAACTTGGCAATTACTCTGCATATTTATTTTAATCTTAAAAGAACTCCATTGTTGGAAATATTTTACCTTTCCGGGTGCACATTTGGCGCCGTCCGGTGCAAGACCAGGGTCAACCTGGCTCAATCCGAGATCGACTATGGCCGAACGACATGGAATTATCTTCCCACCATTATTGATGAACGAATGACTTAAGGTCGCGACTGATTCCATACCAAATTCTAGTCGTTCGTTCAAGTGTTTGCAGTGCAGCATGCCGCAGAGGAGATTTCTACAACACACCCATTATGCTCATGACAAAATCTAACGTGATATTCCTCTCGTATATGATAAAATCAACTTACTCATCGTTACACTTGATGAAACTTGACTCGAGGCGATTGTAGCCGCAGTTACCGTTTTTAGTACCCTTATTGTTCATCTCGTAACACTGCGTGTCGGAGGACCAACCGGTGGGACCCCATAACAATTTACACTGATCGTCGTGAGTCCTACACGAGCCTTGATAGCAGAAGGCCTTGCCCACGCTGCAGGTCTCACCGTCCATCTTAAACACGTCTGACGGACAATATTCACTCTGACCAGTGCAGTATTCCGGCAGGTCGCACTCGTGTTCAGCACTTCGGCACTCCGTGCCTGCAGTCTTCGGCCTGCAAGTCTTCAGATCGCAACATTCGCCTGTCGCGCAGCTCGCATTGCTGTGCAGCATACAGGTGGTCACGTTGCAGCAGGGATTGTCGCAGTTCTCCTTCAGACCGCAATCGCATTGCTCACCCGGCTCGACGAATCCATTACCGCATATGGGACTGTCGAAGAGCTTCTGCGGCTTGTTCCTCAAGCAGTAATCCATGCCATGCTCGAAGGCTAAAGCAAGGTGTTCCAATGAACATGTGGACCAGTGCGTTGGTCCGGACGAGCCACTAGACGACGCCATTATACATCTACAAAAGAGATACGTGCATTAGTAATTGGAGCTGGACTAGATTAACAATATATTACACAGAGAGCTTGCGATTTTATGGAATTGTTAATTTTTATTTTCGGATATCAAAAAATAAAAATTTTTTGATACATTGAATGTTTAAAGTATTGGAGAGGTAAACTATATGACGTACTTCTCTTCAGGACAGCCGCAATCCGGTCCGTCGTGCTCCATGCCAAAATTGTGGCCCATCTCGTGGGCGACAGTGGCCGCGACCAAACCAACGACGTTCGAGTGATCCATGGAGACGCCACCGGAGAATTCATAGGTGCATATCGGTCCCTTGAGAGCCTTGCCGACTACGCCGCCGTCGAAAGTGATTCGCCTATTGCCGGGAAATAAATATCAGTCATCGCTATGTACGGCTAGATGGAATACATATAACTTAGACATATCTGTACACTCACGTCAACAGCTGGGCGTTATCGTTGGGAATATCCTGAACCAGCTTCTCCCTGCGGTAGCGCAGGAAGTTCGACAGCGTGGTGTCGCCGTTCGGCGAGAGTGCTATCTCGTCCGACTCAGACCAGACCTGCACGCCGACCAAGGCGATGAATATGTTCAACGGCATGTACAGCTGCAAATACACGGAGATATACCGTTCCGTATTTTACATAGGGATTTCGCGGTACCGTGATACGCGGTAAGGTCGAGTCAGCGCTAATTAATCTCTCTCTGTCTCGCTGTGTCTGAGAGAACGTAGAATATACAGGACGACGACGCCCGCGTTCTCTCGTTTGCGGAGATATTAGGCCTGAATTGAGATCCGTCATTGTCGTTGCTGATAAATTAAAAGTAAAAATGGAAGCAACTTCGAGAAAACTAGTTAACAGAATTCAACTTTCACGTAATTTTTGAAGTGTGAAATAATGAGTTTAAAATTATAAAAAAGTTTTGCCTGGAAAAATTATGTATATATATATATATATATGTATAAATGTATACATATATATAATTTTTCGTGAAAAAAGTAATATTTAAATTTTATAATAAAAATGTGTCGATTGTATAACAATTTTTGGAATATAATAATTTAAGCTTTTAAGCAAAGCATATGTACAAGTGGATCATACATAATTATTTTAATAAGACTATTAAAGTTCTCGCGCTCGACATATCTCCTTTTTGGAGAAAGGAAGACTCGCACATCCATGTGAATACAATTATGTATACATGTAACAGCCAATTACCCCAGATAAAGTAAAATTCGTGGAACAGCTAGAGATACATTCTAGAGAGATATATTTTAGAAGAAGAAGGAAATCGCAAATGTTCAAAACGACTAATTGGATAATGGAGTTGTTGAATTAACGCTGCGCGCTTCAGATCGTTCTCAGTCGACTTGAGGTCGAAAGGAATTATACGTCCAATTAAGTTACGACGGCGACGTTACTTACAGCGTTGATAATGTTGGCGATGTCCTTACAATGTTGATGCACTTTGTCCAGGTTCTCGTCGAGGGCGGTATATTCCTTCTTGTCGATTACGAGTACTAACTCCACGTAACGCGATTGTCTATTCGCGTTGTAGGGCCCACGGATAATTTCAGCCGCTCTTTTGTGCTGTAAAATAGCAACACAACAATGTGTCATAAAATCATTACTTTTAATTTTACTCATAAATTAACAAAGATACAAAGTGGTAAAATAAAATTGTCATAACAGTAGATGTAATCGTTAATTGTCTCTTTTAGAAATCTACAGAAACTTTCAGTGCTAATTTGTTAATTGTTAATTGTTAATTGTTGAAAACTCTTTAAATTTTCTCTAAGCGCAAGACAATTCACGACTTCTCGTGACTATTCACGATTTCTCCAACAAGAAGAAGAAAAGAACGGAAGAAGGGTACACACGCAAGACACTGAGGGTACCAAGACCCCTGCGACTACGTTCTTTGAAGTCGTATAATTTACCGGGGAAACAGTTTGCGCGAAGTCCTTTTTCTCTTTCCTTTTCTTTTTTTTTGCTGTTGCTTTGTATACATACCCTGGAGAACTTTTTAATCTCGCGATGATCACGAGGGAGAACGTCGTGCGGCGGCGTGCCTTCGTAACCTGCAACCGAGGAAAAACGTCAAACAGGGATACGATCGTCGGCAGCAGGATTCTCGGTAGGACCGAGGAGAGGACAAAGAGTCTTCGTGGTCGGGGCCTTGCTCTCACATTCGTTAAGACCGTTAAGGAGAGACCAGTCTTCTCGAGGCGAGTCTTTGAGCCTGTCTGGGGCATTGCCACCGAAGGACGGAGTACCTAGCTCGTGTGCTCGCCACGGAGACTCTTCTAAAGGTGTTAAAGGTCGTATTTCTGAGAGTCAAAGTTCGTGAATACTTTTAAAGAAACCCGTGGAAATTGCCCCGGCGATCCAGGAACTCCCGTGACAACGATGACGGATACGATCTGGGTGCGAATAACTTGCCAATGTATTGGTAAGTCAACCTGTATTCGTCATGAAATATCTGAGATTCTAATTACAAATTCTGTTAATTTTTCGTAAAATATATCATGTATCTTTTCGAGATAATAATCGTCTAAATTTTTTATAATTCTTTTAAAGAAGTGAATATTTGCAACATTAATTAATGTTCGAAAATATTGGCGTGCACTAATAATATTAGTCATTTTTTCCCAGGCAATTCCTCTCTTCTGCTTTTTACATTAGTAATAATGTATGATATGTGATTCTTGCAAAGGAGATTGAGATATAAACAGTAAAATAGGGACGGTTCAGTCACGAGATGCTTACCACACGTATTATTGGCAATGAGATCGCTGTGCTTGTAAAGGTAATGCCCGGAATCCAATCTCTCATCTTCCGGATGGATGTGATGAAGATTCTCACCATCGAAGATGACACCGCGCAATCCTCTGCAAGTGGATAACGCCACCCACGAGCCAGGAACATCTCGAACGCTACCTTGGTAATGACAGAGTTCCTGCAAGATTCACGCAATTCACGAATGCCATTCGCATAAGATAAACGGTATTAAAAGAATTCTCTTTATTTCTTCGAGCATTTTAAATTTGTCGACATTCATGAAATTCGCTTTATCGCGTGATTCGCTCTTTCCGGTTCACGTACCTATATGCGCGTTTCTAATTTTCTCTTGTAACAAGTATATAATAAAATTGCGGAAACGTTTTCTCGCAAAAATAAAGATGCAGTTATTCACGAATAAAGGCACACTTCTAATTAGATTTATGTTTTAACTTTCTATCTTGATCCTTTTACTATGTCGAAATATAGAGTCGACATAACGTTTTGCGGAAAGCTTTCACATTATAGTTCTCCAAACATTCGTGATTATAATTAGCAAGCAACATTTTTTAAATCTCTATAAATGTTTCGAGAAATAGTCTAAATAAATTGCTGTATATTGAATTGATTAAATTAAACCGACTGAATAATTAAATTGAAAATTCGCGCTTGTTTGTGAGAAATAATTTGGAGCGCAAAGGTTTACATATATTTGCTTCAGTTTGATCTTGTCTCAAGTCAAATTTAATTTTTTAAATTCTCTCATTAAAAATGTCTCTGAACATTTAGCCGATTCGTGACACTTATGAATCGCGCGGCATAACACGTCGAGAAATCGAGATGCCCGTGCGCACCGGCTGCAGTTCGCGGGCTTATCTCGGCCTCTCAGATGCATCGGAACCGTACATCGGCTCAGTACAAATATAGTTGTCCCAGATTCTGGGCATGCACACGCTGCTTGGCGAACCCCGGCGATTTTTCACGTTCCTTTTTCCGCCGCGAGGAAAACGAGGGAGGAGACCCGTTACCTCGGAGAGCAAGCACGTTACTCTCCCGAAAGGAATTGCTCCAACAAAGAAGCACGATCTCGGAGGCAAGGGGAGTATCGGGATCCTCTTTGAAACGAGGCGCTTTCTCCGTTACGAGAGCCATCGATCGTGGTCCATTATCCGATTGCCGTATAGGAAGGTGTATACTGGCGACGTGACGGGCGAGATTGAATTAACGACAGAGAACGTGTCGGTATCGTTAAATCGTCGTATCGATTATTTAATGCAACCGCGACTCTTATTTATTGCCGATGACGCAGCAGCTCGCTCGTGTCTCGATCTTATTGCAATGCCGTCCTTCAAAAATGCCGCAGCAAAGCTGCTCATTGCGGAGATTCGATCTCGATGATGCTTGAGGTCGATTTGTCCGCAGCGTAAACTTGCTCTCGTTATTGAAAGGAAATAAGAACGTCGCTCTCCTTAACAATTTAAATATTGAACGATGTAAGAATAGAGAAAAAACAAATCAATTACAAGGATATTTGCGTACTCATGCTTGAATATCGAATGATCTAAAAATTCAAAGATTCCAGTAGGCGTGACGCTAGGGAACTAGGGATTCATATCCAAGGATTTGTGTTATCGCGTATTTGAACATTCCACAGCGCGATGGTTGATAATTTTTTGTTAAAGAAAATAGAACGGTCTTATCGTGCAAAATACTTTTCACAAATAGTCGTTTATTGCCCTCGGGAAATTCAAGGCTTGACACATTGTGTTTCCAAGTCACGGTGCAAAAATTTTGCATGTGGCGCTCGCATAAAATATCCTTGTGCGCATTTACGCGTTTAATTCACATAAGAAATCCATCTACGTTCGTCCAAGGATGTAATCACTGGGGCCCGCGCTGATATATAACGAACGGATAAAGCGTACGACTTGATTCATTGTCGGATAAGAGAAAAATTTTCGCGAGAGCGTAACGCGCCATGCCCCATGGAAAGCGCGTTACGAGGCGTGTCGGCGGAATATGAAATTTTGTATTCGCCCACGGTAAGCTTATCCTCGCTTCTATTAAATGTAATATCGCGTGTGCGCCGCATCGAGGATTATGTAGATTTATATCACGAGAGCTGTGCGAAAGAAAAATACATTTCCTAACAGCCGCGTTCTTATTACCGGGACGTAAATTTCAGAACCGCGTTGAGAGCATAAGAACGCTCTATCTCCTCGTAATAACCAACTCTCTCTCTCTCTCTCTCTCTCTCTCTCTCTCTCTCTCTCTAATCGCTTTTCTATCCGCAAAATTATTTTTATATCAAGTTTCGTCGAAGGTAAGAATGTGAGATACCTATTATATTCTCGATCTATAAAATGATGTGCTCTCAATCTTATATTTATTATGTACAATATTTGATTTAGTGCATTATCTGTGCTACAAGTATAAATAAATGTATGCACCATCGAGTCTTACAAATTTTTATATATTTTTATATGTATACCTTTTATATATTAGCAAAAACTTTTACACAACGTTTTAAACAGGCATTGCAATATTACGCTGGTATCTCAAATTTCTAGCTTATTCCACATCCGCATTTTCTCCTTTAACGAGCTCAAAATTGGTTTATCCGTGCGGATAAACCGTATTTATGCCGCGAAGAAGAGGAGGTGGGGCGATGAAAGGCATCAGAGCTGTTAGCCGGAGCCACCAATTAATTAAATACAATTGTGCAAAACAGTAAGTGCGGTGCTGCGGCTAGGCGCAACGAACTCTGCCAGTTGGCGGTGAGTTTTACATTTTCAGCTTGATTTCCGTCCCACATTCTAGATGACTTTTTTATGCTCATCATTGTCTCATTATAAATAGTCGAGCAGAAGATTACGATCGATAAAGAGCAGTTAGTCTTTGTTATTTTTAAAAACAGTACTGTATGGTTTATTTTTCTCTCGTCATTATGATTATTTTATATTCATTATTTTCTCAATTTAATGGATTTTTATGATATAAAAAGTGTATCAAGTTAAAAATAATAATGAATGTATTTTTTTATGAATACAATTTTTATTTTAACTTTATTTTTGTTCTTTATTTTAAATAATGAGTATATTGTTTTCTGCTCTCTCTATTTTATCCTGCCTAAAATATATATAAAGTAGACTTTTATTTTAAGACGAATTACAGTTATTTTTCGCGTGACAGAATTGAAATTTGCAAACTTAAATTTACTTGTAAATGCTTTAATAAATTCAATATCGATTCTATTGCAATTAAAATGAAAAGTTACAGCAATTATATCAATAATCGTGTCTAATCAGACAGTTCCAGCTTCACGTTTTTGTTACCGCGTTCACATAAAACTCGCTGCTTTCATCAAAATGATGCTAATCACATGATTTTGGACAAAGCTCGCAATTAAAGGAAACATCTCAGAAATACTTTCGCAATTTTCGCAAGCTACGGAGAAATTTGATTGTCGCTGATTCAGCGCGAGCGAAATTTAATATAACCGGTTTCTCCATCGGTACACGCCGAATAATATTATAATACCGAGCATGTTTAACATGCTCAGCTTTTTATTTTTCCTTCTTCGTAATGTCTTTACTATCTGTTTCGTAAGTAGCTAAGTAAAATCGACTATCTGCAGAAACTTTATGGATAAGCGGAATTAGACGTTTAGCAGGAACAATTTCCGAGGTAATCCTCGCGTTTCGCACGATATACTCCATAGACACGTCGCGCGACCGCTGTAATTCAACGTATTCTGAGTGTTCCATCAGCTTTTCTCTCTCTCTCTCTCTCTCTTTCTTTTCTTTTTTTTTCTCGTCCTTCCTGCCTTTCTCTTCCGTCGCGGCGTTTGAATTATAAAGCGGAAACCCCGCGACCGCCGCTCATGCACGGTTTTAACGTGACGGTGTTGCACGCCCGCCGCGTACGCCCGAAACCAACACGTCGCTACACATTTGCGTGTGTTTATAACGAGACGTTCTATTAAACATGCAGACGGCAGACGGAGTGAGTCACCTCGATCGATTTCGGCCGTGTCGGGTATTATACCTGTGCACGGGGGCCTACCTTATACCTTTTCCGTCCACGCGATGACGGAGGGCTGATATGACGAGAGGGCACGGACACCCGCGGAGATTTTTAATTTACGTGGGACCGGAAATACGAGTCGAGCGTGGAATTAAATGAACTTTCTCACAAATAGATTGTCGGACTGTCCAAAAGAGTGATTCTTCGTTTAAAACGGAAATTATGCATCTTTTATCACAATAGACTATTTTCTCTTTTGCCTGGCATCTCTTTGTTTGGCCTGACTGAATAAAACATCTCTAGAGTTCCCTAATGTTGATCAAAATTAAATTGTGCGCGGACGACCTTCTTTACGCGAACACGTATCATAAAATCGATGGTTCTATAGCCAAGTCGACTTGTAGAATCGCCGTGACATCGATTCGATGAAGGATAACCGAAAAGTGGCAAAAACCAAACACAGAGAGCAAACTGAGCAAATAAGAAAGACACACTAACTGACGAACAAGCTTCGACTCTATCTCTTTCCAGTGATACGCACAGCGAGATTATTTTTGTACAGCCGATGTTTACGCATCGCTTAGCTCAGCATTTTCATCGCAAGATAAAACTTTCAAAGGAAAAAAATATATGTAATAAAATAATATCTAATCAGAAAACGGCTCTTCATTGTCCGCGATAATTGTTGAGAAAAGTTGTATCGATTATCCCTTTTTTTTGCGGGGAGCAAACGGCCATATATGTACGATCGTAAATTTTACGTCGCGTATCATGCCATTAAACGGCGATAATGCCGCTCTTTGTGTGGCCATTCGACATGACGAGTCGCGAGTGAATGGTCGAGCATTACGGGGGGGAGGGGGGGGGGGTTAAGTTGAATGAATTCTCGACGCTTTCCTTCTTGATCGGTGCTGGTTGTCGATAGAATTTACGCTCGCGTGTTCGATATCGATTAGCGCAAACGCTGTTTGCGGAAAAGCGGTTAGCACGCCTAGGGATGCGAATACTGGATGCTGCCCGAGCGGTACTTACAACTTTCGACGGGGTGTGCACTTTGTACGTGCCGCGATGCTGGTGGAGTTGCTGATAGCCGACCGGAATTAAATCGGTGTTCAGCCGAAGGTCGAGAACACGCTCGACGCCGTCCACATTGAAACCCACCGTCAGCACGTCCGCATGCTCGAGGTCCTGAAAAGAGGGAAAATATCGATCTTCAATTTCGATGTGCAGATAAAATTTTCTTCTTCTTTTTCTCGGTAGCTGCCACTAAAATAAGAAAAAATATATAAAACGCTATTATATATAGAGAGAACATATCGATTTTGATCGGTGGAAAGAAGAGAAAAAGAATAATATCCATTTTTTTATGATTCATCGTGAAGCACATGAAAATGTATAAAACTGTAATTAGCTGCAAATAAAAAAAAATTGAGTCATTTATATTCATCAATTACATTATAGATATATATTTGTATAAGATGCATTTATTTTAATCATTTCAGTTTCAACCTGCAATTAGTAGCCAAGTTAGTCTTAATTAAATTTATTTTATATAAGTTATTCCCCTATAGATTGAGTTTTTCTTTTCTAAAAAACGGTTTATCGTATCGTTACAACTCAATGCTCGAATAACATGGCCGATTCTTTCTTATCGAACACACCGAAAAGCCCGATCGCGCACCTGTTGCATTAATAGCGGTAAGACTGTGCTTAGATCTGAGAAAAAAAAATTTCTCCCGCGAAAATTGAGATCCTGAGATCGTTGCATCGAGCTGCAATTAATTTTATACTCGGATGCTCGCTTTCTCCAACCATGAAACCAAATTCAACAATCCTCAAGAACAAGTGATAAACTCCGTAAGACGTAAACTGAATGGACGGGAATTTCAAGCAAGTCGTATTTATTACGAAGCGAATATTAAGCAAGTGAATAATGAAAAACGGTATTCGAATGTAATTTTTAGAGCTACAGCATATATCCGTAAGAAAGTGAAGTTTTTCTAAAAAAAAATGCGATGGTATTTAAGTGGGGTTTATTTAATTTTCACTTTTAAATTTTGGCAATAACGAAAAAGATACGAATCAAAAGCCATACGATCCAAGCTTAGATCTTTGACAGCCTTATATTAGTTTCTGTAATTATATATGTATATATATGTATATACATATATTTTTCCAACGAAAAAGATACGGTAATCTCATAAGCCTTACATTTAATTGCGAATATGCATGAGATAACACATAGCTTATATAACAATAGCTTCATTTAGCTCAGATAACAATACTTTCACTTAGGTTAGATAACAATAGTTCAACGCGGAAATACAATTTTCACGCTAAATTCTTTACCAGTATGATTTCTATGCCTGTTAATCGCAACAAGCTGTGTAAATTTAAATCCGTGATTACGAGGGCGATGTCAATTATTAGCGGAACAGCCGACTACGTGTGTATCGCGTTTATCGTTTTCGGTACGGTTAATCCAATTTGCCGACTGTCATATCATCGAGCGCGTAAAACAGTTAGCGTTATTAGATCGTGATTCCGAGGGTGGAAAGCCTCGGCCTGAAATTCATAAACTCTCGGAATTGGTAGCGCGTTCTCCTCTCTTTCGAGCGCGGCCGTACGCGTGCCGAGTGAACAGAAATGAATTTGCGAATCTCGTTTGCACCGGAGCCCAACGGCGCGCGATGTTTAATTCATGGGCGTTGTCCCACCCGGGATACTTTTCCTGCGAGCGTTTCGTGTTGAAGAGAATGGATGCTGCATGACTTGTGGATGCTGCACCGAGAATGACACTAGAACAGTCGGCTCGTAGGCCGACTTGTTAAGCTTTGAGATTACAGTCCGGATGACTTTCTAGTTCGGACAATTATCAAATTAAATTAAATTTTAATTTCCTTTATTATACGATATATACCTGAATAAACAGGTTTTAACGACGAGATCTAACGACGACTTTTTTAGTCAACTTGGAATAAATCTCCAATCATAGTTTGAAAATTGGAGAAAAACTATTGACCCCTAAATAATATAACTTGTATTTTTGCGCCTGTCTATCTGGGATTTATTCTAAAGTTTTTAACATAAAATAAAAATGCATCACTATAAAAAGACACTGACTGAATTTTTCTAAATACGATATTCTTCTCTTAAAGAAAAGCAATTTCTTCTGCAATTAATTTCTTATTTTGTGCTACGGCTAAGTGACTGAAAGGAGAATGGTAAAATCAGCCGAGACTTAATCAAGATAGTTTGTTACAACCAACCCGTTTTAGAAGTTTACGCGGGATTCGTACGCGAGATACGTACAATATCCCCTGGGCTACATTTTACGTCGGTCTTCTGTTCTACAATCTACGGCAAGAAAAATATAAAAGAAGCTTTTAACTATCTTCCGTCGCGTGCAAAGACGGCGAAACAACGTGAGTAACGTGACGGAAGGTCGACTCTTAATTAGTCTAAGTGCCGCGGGTGCCGCCGCGTTGAACTGAAATTGTGGCAGTAATTACTCGTGTAACGTAATGCAGAATTGGACAGGCGCGGTTTCAACGCCCGGGGTGGATGGACGAAGGTGCCCTATCCTATTATGAATTATTGATTAGCCTCCTTGCGCTCCTTCGACAACAAACGCTGTCTAAACATAGCACAGTCCCAGTTAGCTAGTTTGTATAAAAAAATTATTCGCACTCACAAATAACTTAAAATTGTAAATTACTGCGAAAAATAAAATAGGAGTTTTCAGCGGTTCTCATATTACAAATACGGTCGTTGAGGTAATTTTAAATTAAATACGGTTTTACATTAAATGTACATTTTATCTTGTAAGAGAAGATAATAAAAAAAAAAAAAACTTGAAATTGCTCATGGAAAGTGCGCTACGACAGAAGGTAACAGATATAATTAAAATCAGCTAATTTAGTAAATGAGTACGTGTCAAATGCAAATATAAATGACGTTGAGCTCTCATTGAATAAACTGTCATTATTTCAAAATGCAAGCGCGCGTGAAATCAGACTCCGTATGATAAAATATGAATTTTAATCCCCACAGGTCCTGCAACATAGAAATTTTGCAGTATACATGTTGAAACGTGCACTCGGTAATTTTCAGAAACACATTAACCGAATTGAAAAGTATCTCCGACGCGCGATATCCGCGAGGCGGCTTACTCTCGGGAGACAAATGGCGCAGTAACGATATTTCTTCAGGAAGCCAAGTCCACAACGATAGGACGCGACGGCGTAACACTGGCGCGCGATACACGGTCGACAGTGCACTCCTTTGAAATCCTTTCAGCGTGGTGTACATCATTGTCCAGCGGCAGTTAGCAATCTATACTTGGCTCGCGGCTACCACAGAGACCGTTTTTGATATCATACCCGCCGCTGGTTCCTGCACGCGCGGTATACCATGACCCGCATTCATTTTCCGTCGATATCGAGAAACAAATATATTGCTGGGGGTCAGGGCTATTGAATATCTCTATATATAAACAGAGTATCTCTGCGGACCCACTGCGCGAAATTTAAGCCTCATTTAATTAATACAAAATTGATTTTTCCTCGGCGGATAATTGTAAATCCCGAAGTTAATTCTCCTCTTCTCGATACTCGCAAATCGTTGTTGATTATTTTATGTTAGACACGAAAAATTAACAAGAAGATCAGGGTGTCCGTCGATGAAATATGGTTTGTTGAATTCGAAACATATTATATGTAACGCAGTACTGTGTGCAATACGTTGACACAACAGAAAAGTCGACAAGCAAAATCATTTACTACGACGCCGTTGGATTGGAGGTGATTAAGGAAAACCTAAGAGTTGCTAAGGTAAATGCGAAAGCTCGCGAAAGTTCGCGAATATACTTTTTGTTCCACGCTCTGTTGGCGCATCCCAAACAATTTACCGAGCGAACTAACTGCATTAATCGGTTGCCGGATAACGAATTAAGCAGCCGGTGATCGTTCTAACTTTTCCACAGCCAGTTGGGGAAATTCTGAGTACCGTCACTCGTCGAAAAAAATTTGCGGAAAAAATTCGCCCGCACGAGCCTGTCTTTTTAATCCGGTAACTAGAACCAAGTTAATCCAAGCAACGGGGAAAAAAATGTCACGGAAGGGAAAACAGGGCGCCTGTTAAAATAAAAAAGAAAAAAAGAGAGAGAAAGAGACGAGCGCTCCTTTCCAGCTACGGTAAAACTCGGCCGACGTGGTCCTTACGTTTCATTGTGTGTCCCCGTAAACCACCCTCGCTCAACGGAATTTCCGGCTCCGTGGTTTCTACCGCATCCTTCGGAAACCCGAAGAAAAGAAAAGCTTGGCGGCGACGCCGATCTTTTTTAGGAAAATTCCGGTGGTGCACCACGCGACAATGCCTGTCACCGAGGAAGACGAATTGCGAAGGATGCTCGTAGAAATAGAAATGCATTCAGGACGTTCTAATTAAACATGGAGTTCGCATGAATCACCTCAATAGTAATTACTCCAGTTTTCATTAAACAATTAACAATTTTGTCATTCCCCCTCGTATAATATTCGCTCGATAATATTCGTACAATTACTTAATTATAATAATGTCACTGTGTTTAACTCAGATTGGATTTAAATTAATCGAGAGAAATTAAGATATAACGCAATGAAATTAAAATATAACACAATGCTTTCTAACTCATCCTGCAAGTGATATAACCACTTATATTTTGAATTATAATGAATATATTTATTATTCAGATTGTAACATTCATTGCTTGTAACATTCATTTTCACTAAATAAAGTTTAGCTTCAAACTTCACGATGAACAACATGTATATGCATGCTTGCTGCTAATTATATAACATTGTAACATCTTAAATGCTGTGCAAAAAATAATTAATCAAAAAATTGAAATGAATTGTATATGTAGGTACATAATTGGCTCGTTACTTTATATCTTGAACTTGAATTTGTTAAAAACATTTAAAAATTACTACAATTGATTAATCTGTGTTCTCATGACATTCACGTGTAACCAACCGAGGAACTATTTCAATAAACAAGATCAAAACTCAACGTCTATGAACATGAAAGGAGAGTCACACAAAAGGGAAATTCGGATATGCCGATTGTCGTTTGTGTGCCGTCGAGCGAGACGATGTTCGACGAATCGGACGCGTTTTATCGTTAGCTTCACTGAAGAATGTGAGGGA